CTTCTCTCCTTATGTCCAGTGAAACTCTTCTAAATTCTTTGCCTTTCACTTCTTCTCAATGTGGTCAGTGACATGTTACAGCTGATACAGTATCAACTTGAGCAGTTTAGAAGTTTAACTGAGACTGGGCAGGGAGCCAGGGTTCTTACTTTGTAAATATCCTCTGGCACAGGCAGAGGATATTACAGAGGGCACAGAGATTCTGTGGGTACTACATCTGCCCTGGAGGAGGTGGCCTGTGTACAGAACCAGGCAGAAGAGGCTTGCTCATCCCTCCTTTCCCCCTTCTTGCTTTTGCTGTCTTCTGCCACCCTGAAGTGTCGCCCCTGTGCCATGCCACCCTGCCTTGAGCCAGCTGATGATGGGCTGAAACCTCCATAAACCGGGAGCTAAAGAACCCCCCCCCGGGCGGGGGCTGGGGATTTAGCTCAGCGGCATAAGCGCCTGCCTTGTAAGCAGGGAGTCATGAGTTCGATCCCTGGTACCAATAAAAACGAAAAAGACACACACAAAAAAAAAAAAAAAAAAAAAGAAAGAAAGAAAGAAAAAGAAATCTCTCCTTCCTTCATTTCGGGTGTTAGATATTTTGTCCCAGACAAGAGGGAAGAGTAACCAGGATAACATCTAACAGGCCGGGCTGTATCTCTCCTAAAAGGCAGACCCTGCTTTGTGATGGGGTCAGGCAAGAACAGGGCTGGGTTTAGTTCCCAGACTTGGGGGTGGCCTGGGGGTAAGTCACAGTGGTACCAACATGTGCTGGGAGGTGAGGACTGAGACAGGGTGGGGAGGGAGCCTGCAGAACAGGTGCTAATGAGGACAATTGCCAATGTGGTACCGGCTGAATCATGGGCGTCTGTTTTGAACATCCCGAGAATGTCTGTGCCCACCTGGAGTCCACCGACCTCTGTGGAGCAAGGCATCTCAACTGACCAGGCTCCCTGGTTCTTTTTCCACTCCCTGGGGGTGGAAACCACTAATGGCAGGATCGTCATCCCCTGAATGCCTCTCTGTACTGACACTGGCGACTTTTACACAGCAGCTCTGTCCACTAGCCCGGAGGAGGAGCAGGAATGGGGCCCACAGGCTGACCCGGGCCTGCTGCTCGGCCAACACTGCCTCCTGAGTCCAGGGTTTGTTGCTGCCAAGTTGCTTCCCCATCCTCACTTCCCAGGTGTGAGGAGGGGAGTAAACACCAGCCTGGCTGAGAGCAGGGGCCCCTGCAGAGACACTCCTGGCGTTCCCAGGCTTCTCAGCATTTGAAAAGCAGTGTTCAGACTGAGAGGCCCTGTGACCTTTGCTTCCTGATCATACAGCAATCAGTGGCGTGACTACAGGTCACTGATCTAGGCTGGCAGGGCCATACCGAAAGAGGCCAATGAAAAATCCCCATGCAAGAGGTGGGCACCATGTACTTGCCTGTAATCCCAGCCCTCTAGGAGGCTGAGGCAGGAGGACTGAACCCATCCTGGGCTACTCAGATTCAAAACTAAGAAACAAACGAACAAACCCAGTGTGAATGGGCAGGTGGGAGGGGGGGCGTGGGTCACACAGCTGATACCTCAGCATCTGGGAGGCTGAGACAGGAGGGTTGTTGGGAGGCTGAGGCCAGCCTGACCACACAGTGAGTGAAGGCCAGCCTGAACCATGTAGAGAGACTTTGCCTCCAAAAAAAAAGAGCAAGTGAGTCAAGCCGTCTGTGGGAGCCAAAATCAATAATGACTCATTCGCAAATACCACACCACAGATCAAGTTAGGCAGGGATGTAGAAAGGCATTTGAAACTCAGTGTGTTTAAAATGAGAGGGAGAAACAAGTCATGTACAAGTTCTCTTTTAAAAATTGTTCACAGAAGCCGGGCATGGTGGTACACACCTGGAATCCCAGCACTCGGGATGATGAGGCCGGAGGATTACTGAGAGTTCAAGACCAGCCTGGGCTACACAGGCTCAAAAAGACAAAAAAGGAAAGAAAATTGTTTCCAGAATCTGTTTTCCCTTAGGGAAGAACATGATGGCGACTGGAAATAAGTCGATAAGTTGATAAGAACATGGCCTGGAGACAGACTTTTCTGCAAGGGACTCTACGGAGCCAGACAGGAGCTTGATCGGCGCAGCTAGGAAAGTTGCCCATTCCAGACAGCAGCGGACTTGCCCTTGGCGAGATCGGCTCTGTCTTTCAGTCCCGCCCCGCCTTTTAGGTGTTTCAGTCCTGATTCACTTTCATCAGCTCATTAGTAAGTCTCTATGTGGGATCAGTATTACTCCAGGTAGGAAACAGGGCTGAGGCCTGGAGTTGCTTTTATGTTGTTTTTTGTCCCTTTGAGACAAGGTCTCACTATGCAGTTCAGGCTGGTCTTGAACTCCCAGTGATCCTCCTGCCTCAGCCTCCCCTGTGTTGGGATGACAGGCATGTGTCACCGCACATGGGGGAGGGGGTGGTGGAAGTCTTAATAAAAACTTCTTGGGGTGTTTTTTATTTTGTTAGTACATTTTAGATAAAATTAATGATAACATTTTTCATAGGGAATTTGTACCTTGCTGATTTTTTTCCCACTCCCCTTCCTTCACCAAGTATAAAAATTTTATCTAACAGTTTAAGTACCAGTAATCTGGGAAAGGGGCAGAATCTTTGTCATCTCCCTGGGTACCTCAGGGGACTGTGTGACTCCAGAAGACCATAGCATCTCCCAGTTCTTGCTGGCAGTGAGAAACCCAGCACCCTTCTTGGCTGTAGTAGGACGTCAGTAATCTCAGCATTCAGAGGCTGAGGCAGAAGGATTGCTGCAAATTTGCCTCATGAAAGAACCTTCTGACCACATTTGCCCCTTTGAACATCTGTCTCTTCTGCCAGTGAAGGGTACAGTGTCCTTGAGCTTCTGAGGACACAGCATTCAAAGCCTCCTCTGGGAGGCAGAATCCACAAGTACCCAGCACATGAGTGCCTGGCTCGAGGGGCAGCTTCCAGAGACACACATGGATCTTACAAAGTGCCCCAGCCTGAGGCTCAGCACCACCGCTCAGATGGAGTAAAATGCTCCACTGAGGTGGGTCTCGAAGCTGGGATGGACAGACAGGGGCAGGGGAGGCACGGACAGAGACAGCAAAGGAAGACTCCTTCAGGAGGCAGGGAGGGAGGTCAAGGGAGGGAGGTCAGGCAACATACAGCGCAGGAGCCCTGGCTGAGGCTGCTGCAGGGGAGGCAGCAGCTGCAGGGATGGGACAGAGCTTGGAGACGTGGGCCAGTTGGATCACCACTCCTTGCTGAGATTGTGCTGAGTGCTGTGATGGGTACCCTCCCAGGTTCCACTCAGGCATCTGGAGCAGGTGCAGGGTGAGTGACCCTCATCCTGCAAGGTTCCAACCAGACACGGGGGCCCTCCTGGAGGGTTTGTGGCGACACTGCTCCACAGAGTGATGCCCTTAACATGGCTAAACCACAGGCTCACAGAGCGTGAGAGTATATATTTTGGGTATATTTTTACTGTGGTTTAAAACTAAGAAAAAAAATACAAATATATAGACCAAGCAGTTAGAGAAATAACTCAAAGTCTGTTTTGCTGTTTTAATCAGATGAGTTGTTTCTTTGCCCAAGTTCTGCAGATGGCACCACTCTGGGTCAGCTTAGGTCATGCAAGTCGCAGATGCGGGATCTAGAGGTCAATCCACTGGCCCCAGGGCTCGCAGCCAGGGATGGGGTGTACTTCAAGGAATCCTAGAGTTGGAACCTCAGCTTTTACCCTCCAAACACTCACACTTTCACCAATCCCCAAGCAGGTTAATTATCAGGCTACTTTTTCTTAAAAGTACCCCCCTTAGTATGCAGAGAAATCCCGTTGGGTGTTTTCTAGGTTGAGAAAGCCTGAGAAGCCTGAGGAATCACAGCATGAAACATTTATTGAATGTTTTCTGTTGAGTCACATCTGATACTAACACTCTATGCGACAGACAGGGTCTCTGGAGTCAAGATGCACCTAGACACAGCCCGAAAGAGGTGATGAAAACACTGTGGATGTCTGCACTTTAAAAAGTGTTAGCTGGGTATAGTGAAGCATGCCTGTGATAACAGCTCTCCAGAGGCAGAGGCAGGAGGATCACTGTGTGTTCAAGGTCAGACTGGGCTACAAAGTGAACTCAAGGCCACACTGAACTACAGAGCGAGACTCTGTCTCAAAGAACAACTAGTAATAATAAAGCTATTACAGTCACAGACACATTGTCATTAATCCTGCTCACCCCACCCAACCCCACACAACTTAGCCCATCATTCTTGGCTACCTCTTTTACTGCAGTGATTTTTGGGCAGCGGGGACTGGGAACCAGGACCTCACAGGCAGGTGCTGTGCCGCCGAGCTAAACCCCTGGCCAGTGTTTTACCATGATACATACTAAAAATGCAAACACTGACTGTATTTCGTGATCGCAGCTCGTGGATTTAAGATTTACACTGATTCCTGTCAAAAACACGATGCCGTGTCCTCGTCCACCTTCATCACTGGATCTGGCACAGGAAAGATCCCTTTTTCTTCTATTGGCAGTCTGTGTCTGCAGCAGAGAACACTCCACTCATCGTGGGGAGCCTGTGCGTGTTCATCACACATCTTTCTTCTTCTCTGTCCCCTTCCATCCCATTATCTCTTATTTTGTGCCTTTATTTATCCTCTGGGGAAACGTTTAGCGTCGATTTGGGACATCCAAGAGCCCCACTAAAGACATTGCAGAAAGAGGGCTCCTGAACTGCTGCGGGTAGTGGAGAGGATGAGGGGATCACTTGCTGCGAGCAAGCGAGAGCATCTGAGGGGTGCTCAGGGCAAAACGCTTTAGACATCTACTATTGCAGGCCGCGATCCTGGCCTGCGTCTGCAGAGGCAGGAGGGTCTCCGGCCCGGTACCACGCAGGCGCAGTGCATCCGCGCCCTCTGCACACCGCCCCGTCCCGCCCCGCCCCGCGGCCCGGGCGAAGTCCAGGTGCGCCGACCCGACCCGGCCCTGCTGCGCGGCGCGGACGCTCGGACGCTCAGCTGCGGCCTCGGCCCCCGCGCAGCCCCGCCGCAGCCCCGCCGCAGCCCCGCCGCAGCCCGGCCCGCCGCCCGCCGCAGCTCGCAGCCCGCCGCCCACCGCCATGGCGGAAGTGCTCCGACGTCAGCGGGCCCGGCCGCCCCGGGCAGCCCCCGCCGGCCCCGCGGCGCGCAGACATGCGGAGGCGCTGGGCATGGCGCCGGCCGAGCCGCTGACCGTGCTGCTGCGGCTGCTGGCCGCCGGCTTCTACGGCGTCAGCTCCTTCCTCATCGTGGTGGTCAACAAGACCGTGCTCACCAGCTACAGGCAGGCCGGGCGGGCGGCGGCGGGCGGCGGACTTCGGTCCCGCGCGGGGCGGGCGGGGCGGGCGGGGACCCGGGGCGCGGCGGACCGGAGGGCGCGGGGCGCGGGGTCCGGCCGGCGCGGTGCACCGGCGCACCCTTCCCGCGGCCCGCGGCACCCGTGGACTTTCGGTCCCCCGCGCGCGAGGGCGGCGGCGACGGCGGCGACGGCGGCATCACTCGGACCTGGCGGAATGGGAGCTTTTTCTCGGGCGTCCGGGCTTGGTGGATGGGTGGCGGGGTGGGCGCGGGTCACAGCACGGAGGCGTCAGGTCACTGCGAGCCCCCTGGCAGGCGCCGCGCCCACCAGTGTAGTCACACGCCCGGCTGCAGACAGCGGGCACCGGGGAGGCCGAGGCAGAAGGGCTCCGCCTGGGCGGCCCGTCGAGTCCGGGGTCCGGGGTAGGAAGGGACCGGGCCGGGGCTGTGGCGCGAGGGCCCCGGGAAGTGTGCTCAGCAGGCTGCCAGCGCGCCCGGGCCGCGAGCCGCCCTGAGCTTTGCACTCTGCGCCCCTTTCCCGCAGGTTCCCGTCCTCGCTGTGCGTGGGGCTCGGCCAGGTGAGTGCGCGCCCCGCGGGGTCCCCGGCCCGCGCCCCGCAGCCGCACAGCGCCCTGTCCTCTGTCCGCAGATGGTGGCCACTGTGACGGTGCTGTGGACGGCCAAGGCGCTCAGGGTGGTGAAATTCCCCGATCTGGACTGGAACATACCTCGGAAGGTAGGGCCGGGGTGCGTAGACCTCGGTGCTGGGGCAGCCGTGACAGCCCCAGGCCGAAGCGCTCAGTGGACGGTGGAGCCCATGTAGAGCCGCACCATCGCCTTAGAATTCAGGGAACAGAGCTAGTTTCGGTGGCACACGCCTGTCATCCCAGCACTATAGGGAGGCTGAGGCAGGAGGGTCACTGTGAGTGAGGCCTGCCTGGGCTACAGAGTGAGCTCAGGGCCAGCTTGAACTGCATACTGAGAGCCTGTCTCAAAAAGGCAAGAAGAAAGAAGAAAGAAAAACCTAGGAAATGAAAATCGCTGGGAATCTTATTGTAATTTATGCGTCCCTGCGGGGAATGAAGCATTCCTTTCCCCAGTAGTCCTGGCCAAGTACCCACAGCACTCACTGCTCTTTGATTAATGTGCTTCTGCCAGCCATGCGCAGCCACAGGCCGGTGACATGCCTGCCCTGTCTGCCCATCTTGGCCCTGCCCGTGCCTTGGAGTGGCATCCTAAGGCAAATGATAGGTCTGCCCCATCGTTGATCATTTTCCTGTTTCTGTTTCTCTCCTTCCTCCTGTTTCCCTCTCTCTGCCACTGTGGTGCCTACTGGGGAGATTTCATGTGGTTTGGGCTTCCATGGGGGTCTGATTGTTAACCAGAACTGATTTCCAATGGAAAGCATTTGATCAGATAAACAAAACTGTTTCTGTTTGCAAGGACCTTGTTTTAGCTGTTTTTATTATTGAGCTTTGTTATCCCTGTTTTTAAATTTTCTAGACGTTTCCACTACCTCTCCTATATTTTGGGAACCAAATCACGGGACTGTTCAGCACAAAGAGACTGAAGTATGGATAACTTTATTTTACTCCTGAGGTTAATAGAATGTTGCTCTTAAAGTTGTACTTTAGTAAATGTCAGCTGTGAATGCATTGTTACTGACTTGGGAAAAAACAAAATGAGCAGAAAAATTCAGTTAAACGCTGTGTAATGAAGATTGCTTCAGAGGTTTTAGGTTAAGCTGTTTTGAAGAGAAGGAATAATCTTTTGGTTTGTTTTTTCCCCCTCACTTTGATGTGGGAAGTCTTAAAATGTTGCCTAATGCTTGATAAGAGATTTTCATTATTTTACCAGCCCTGCAGTAGTGAGAGGTAGGATAGCTTTGGGATTTCAGTTTTTTAGTATGAATCATAAATACTTTAGCTGAGGCAGAGTCCCCACAACCCATTCACAGGATGGACATGAGAACGACAGTTCTCGGTATTTTGTTTTTGTTTTTTGTTTTTCCTTTTGAGACAGGGTCTCACTATGCATCCAAGCTGGCCTTGAGCTCACTTTGTAGCCCAGGCTGGTCTCAAACTTGCAGTGATTAATCTTCCTGCCTCAGCCTCCCAAGTGCTGGGCTATGTTTTTCTTTTTTTTAGTTTTTCTTCCAATGTGAAGTAGTCAGAATCACCAGGAACCATGGTACCAGTGAAGGTCTCACCCTAGTGGCTCTTCTAGACTGGTGAGCCGAGACTGTCTGCCCTAGCAGCTCTGCCCCACCCTGTCCTCCGCTGCTGCCCCGGACTGTGCTCCTTCCCTTGCGGGAGGCGCTGTGTGTGTGCTGCTCCAGCCAGGCTGGAGGGACACAGTGTAATGGAGCCCAGTGCCCGAGGTGTACATGGGGTGATGGCAAAGCCTCAGCCGGATAGTGTTTTCCATCCTCTTTCTAAACCGAGAAACTGATGGTGTCGAAGCATCTGGTGGAGAGTCCCCAGAAGTCACATTCAGTATGTGGGGCCCCTTGGGCCACCTCCCCGCACCCGGAAAGAAGTGCAGGCCTCCCCTGCACTGCTTGTGGAGTCTGCCTTTCTTACCATTGCTGTCCATTCATCCACCCGTCCATCCATCTGTCCGTCCATTTCACCATCCATCCACACCCTACCTTCTAGTGCCAGCTAAGTGGAAGGCACTTTGGAATGAGATAAGATGCTTTTAGAAATAAGGGGATGCAGGAAGCTGGATGCATGGTTAGAGCAAGTAGAGCGCTCTAGGAATTTAGAAAAAGCTGCTACTGAGAGGGCCAGCGGGGGTGTGCCAGCGGAGCTGTTCCTGGAGATTTTCTGAGTGGCGGGCGTGGGCCAGGGTGGGGAGGAGTCCTGTTCTCCTGAGGCCATGGAGCTTCTGCCCACCCAGGGTGTGCAGTTCGCAGCCGAAGCCACAGCCTGTTGCTACTCTGTGTTACTGCTGTCTATAGTTCAGGCCACGTCTCTCACTTTTAGTAGATTTTTAACAGCAGCTGTTTGAAAGTTTTTAAGTCAGAACTGTTTTAGAGAGAGGGCTCAGTAGCATGGAGTTTCCATGCTGGAAGGGAGAGGTTCGCACTGTCTTGAGCTGCCGGATTGGAAGAGCTCTGTGTGAAGCAGACAGGGCTGGGCTTCCTCTAACTGCTCTCCTTGTCTCTGCAGCCTGCCGATGTTCACTGTGCTGCGAAGGTTCTCCATCCTCTTCACCATGCTGGCGGAAGGGGTTTTACTCAAGTGAGCCCATTTTTGACATTCCTGCTCTTTAAACCCTTAGAAGCAGACTCCAGAGGCGAGCCCCATGTCCCTTGCCCTCTGACCCGTGGGGAGACACAGTGGCCCCCTCTCCCACTGCGGACCTGGCAGTGTGCAGGGAGGTGTCCTCGGACTGGGCTGTGCTGGAAACCTCTAGAGGCCAGGGTCTGTTATGATCCCTGGGGAGAAGGGTCGGAGACCCGGTGCAGGTAAACCGTGTCCTCGTCCTGTCTTGGCTGCTTTCCACCCACGTGTGGGATAGAAACCTAAAGAAACTCTGAACCCTACAACTTCCAACTTGCTAATGATAATAAATACCAGGAAGAAAACATGCAAATGATCATTTGTGTAACGATGAGTTTTTTACTGCATGGTGGTGAGGCTTGAAAAAGCTAGATCCTTGAGAAATGTTTAAGATACAGTGTTCGTATATTTTGTGAAAAAAATGCCACTTTTTAAAAAGCCTATTGTAAAATAGGTATATGAATAAGTCTTACACATACATTTTTAATTGTTTTGTAGGAAGACCTTTTCTTGGGGTGTTAAAATGACTGTGTTTGCAATGATTTTTGGCGCCTTTGTAGCTGCCAGGTAAGATGCGGGCCTACAGACAGCACATAAAAATAATCATGAATAATTATCATAAATGATCCGTTGTCAGTAAGAACAATTGTTTGTAGCCTAAGTAAGATCTTATGCTTGGTCCTCTTGCGCCCCCTCTCACGCTTGAGTCCTTGTTCCCTCTGTCCTCCTCTGTGTTTCTACAGCCGTGCTGTGATCACTGCATGCTTAGGTTTGAAAGGCATTCAGGAGACTCTGAAAGTTTGAGTCTTCCTGGCTCTTCTGTGATGCAGGCTGACAGAGCAGGGGTGGAGGCTCAGTGAGGTTAACTGCCTGTTCTGGACCTGTCACTGTCTTCTGGGTAGTAAGTTCCAGGCTGTGTGTGTGGTGGCTGTGTGCTTCTCACACAGCTCTGGGGGATCCAGGTGCCACTTTGCTGTCTTATAGTTGAGGCTAAAACGTAAGTTGTATGATGTGCCCGGGGTCACCGGGCTGATCGAGCAGCCGGGACTAGAGTCTGTCTGTCTGTCTCAACTCAGTGTGTTTGGTTATCAGCTGTGGCTCCCTTCTGCTCTGCATGTACTTCTGCTGTGCATGCCCTCCAGCAGCGTCTGTGCACTATTTGCTGGGCAGAATGAGGAATGAACAACAGCAGGATGAGTGACAGCGGGGTGAGTGACAGTGGGGTGAGTGACAGCGGGATGAGAGACGGCGGGATGAGTGACAGCGGGGGTGAGTGATGGCGGGATGAGTGACAGCAAGGTGAGGGACAGCGGGATGAATGACAGCGGGATGAGTGACCGCAGGATGAATGACAGCAGGATGAATGACAGCAGGATGAGTGACGGCGGGGTGAGTGACAGCGGGGATGAGTGACGGCAGGGTGAGTGATGGGGGGGGGTGAGTGACAGCAGGATGAGGGACCATGGGGATAAGGGATGGAGTGTCATTGCTGCTCTATTTGGCCTTCCTCATGGTATAGAGATGAAAATGCTGGCACTCTGTTCCTAACGCTGTTGTGCTTTTCCCAAGTTTTCTTTTAAAGCTATGTGGAGGAAGCACAGTGGTGATTGTGTTTAGGGGGAGGAGGGCTGGTTACCCCAACTTAGCACTGCATGCCCATTCACACTACCATGCTACACTCCAGGGGTGTACAGTAACATGTGCCGTGTGGAAAGGCAGGCAGGTTTCTGGGGCTCCATCCTCTGGTCCATCCTAGAAGCTGCCTCTGACACTTCACTCCTCCTGGGGCTCGAGGGTGGGATGGTGGGGGCTGAGGATTCTGCCGCACACATTTTCCATCTGAAGGTTTCGGGGTGCCTCTTGGCCCAGCTCTATCCCTGTGGTGCAAGTGAGGGAAAGAGAAGTCAAATTGTTTTACCTTAAAACCTACAAGTGAAATTTCTTACTAAAAAATAAATAAGCCAGTTGTGGTGGCACACACCTGTCATCCCAGCACTCAGGAGGCCGAGGCAGGAGGATCATTGCAAATTTGACACCAGCCTGGGCTACAAAGTGAGCTTAAGTCCAACCTGACCTGCATAGTGAGACCCTGCCTCAAAAAGACAAAAAATAAATGGAAGAAGGTGGGGTCTTTAGTTTCCAGAATGTGGTTACCTGCCCACAGGGCCCTGCCTTTCTCTTGGAGGCACCCTTGGCCTCTGAGTCGGGTCCGATGGTGTCAGGCAGCGAGGTCTCTGGACAGGGCCTGGCCTGCAGAAGGGAGGCACTGAGGTTGCTTTCAAGCTGCTTTGGGGCCACTGCTCTGGGAGGGGCGGCCCAGTATGGGGTGTGCCGGGGGTGTCGTGGCTGGGGTGCTGACCTGAGGGGAGGCACGCTGTCCTCTCGCATGCACATGTCGGCCCCTCCTTCCTGACTTCTTTTCCCTTCTGCCCGATCTCCCTGTGCTCAGCCAGCAGCTGCTATTCTGCCTAGGTGCTATGCCCTGCTGACATGGCCAGTGGGCTCTGGTGATGCCTGTAAGGGTTAGGGCGCCTCGTTTCTCAAGAATCTGTTACGGAGCAGGAAGTCAGCATCGTGGCCGGGGTGAAGAAATCTGGTGGTTGCTAAACGCCCAGTGTCTGGGACTGGATAAGAATGTGCTCCTGTAGCTTGGAGCTGGGAAATGAAACGCAGGTTCTCTCCTCTCCACTTAGATTGTTCTCAACACACTGCTTGTATTTTGCAGCTCAGACCTGGCCTTTGATCTGGAAGGATACATTTTTATTCTGATCAATGATGTCCTGACAGCAGCAAACGGTGCATATGTAAAACAGAAACTGGACTCCAAAGTAGGTAGCAGTCTGGGGCTTTTCATTAGGTGTATGCGTGCTGGGGACTTGGATGCCAGGCATCGGGAGCTGTGGGAAAAAAGACACTTGTGCTGATCCATCAGCTGGTAGTACTGGGTACTGAACCCTGGCTGCCTCCCCAGCCCTGTCTTCTTACTTTGAGCCAGGGCTTCACTAAGTGGCTGAGCCACCTGGTGGGGCTGGCTTGGCCTGTGACCCTCCTGCCTGAGCATGCTGAGTGCTGGGTTACAGCTTGTAGTACCAGTGTGGCTTAACAGGAAGGCTTTTCAAAGCAGTTTTGTTTGTCCTCTACGCTTTTCATGCCCATGCATCACACCTTCTGTCTGGGTCGGGCCAGACCATCAGAACGCTGAGGCTCTTTCCTAAGCGAAGGTGTTCCTAGAGCTCGGCTTGAGTATGGGGCTCGGTGGGTGAAGGATGGGGCTCAGTCCTTGGACATGCAGGCACTGCTTATCTCAGGGGTCACTGTAGCTTTTCCTGGGTGGCTGATACATTGTTATCTCGATGCCCAAGCTCCTAACCACTGGTTTTATCTCCCTTGGCCTTTCCTCTCGTCCTGCTCTGCATGGTCTGACAATTCCATGCTGTGTGCAGTGTTCTGCACGGCAGGTCCTTTGCTGGTCCTCGGATGATGGATAAATACAGAAGCCCTGTGGACTCCGGGGACAGCCCCCAGCTCATGTCCCCTCAGCCAGGGCTTTGTCTCCTGCTGAAAACTAGTTGAGACTGTTTGGCTCTCCTCAGAAGAGTGTTTTTGAAATATTCTTGAAAAACTAGGCAGTGCAGATTTGTTTCTCATACTTTTTCTTTAACACAACTTTTTTTTTTCGTGCTGGCAGTCGAATTCAGGACCCTGCGCTTGCCAGGCAGGAGCTTATGCTGCTGAGCTGTATCCCCAGCCCCTGAACTCAACTTTTATATTGGCCTCTGATTACTTGGCCTTGATGACCCTGTGATAATTTCATTTTTACCTTTTTTTAAATAAAAGAGAGCAGCTGGAGATTTGGTCTTGCTCAGTTTTGTTCCTTAGCCTGTTTGCTGCTCTGGAACGTGGACACTTGCAATAACGTCTCATTCTCAGCAGCTGTAGCTATCTGAAACAGTATTGTCCAGTGGGCCAGGTGTGATGGTGCACGCTTGTAATCCCAGCACTCAGGAGGCTGAGGGAGGAGGATCTTTATAGCCTAGGCTATAAAGTGAGTTCAAGGCCAGCCTGAAACTGCAGAGTGAGACCTGGTTCAAAAAGACAAAAAAATATAAACATTTTAAAACAGTTTTTAAAAAATATTATCCAGTGGCAGATTGCATGCAGGTGGGCCTCACGATACCTCTGCTTCCTATCCTGAATGGCAGGAAACACACAGCTAGTCAGCACTTACACAGTGATTGGTGAACTGAGGACCAGATGAGGGTCCTCAGTAACTATTTCTAAGTAGCTCCATGTGGATGTTGGCTATTATTTTGGACAACAGAGTCTGGAAAAAGAATAAAAGGTTTCAGAGGATTTCACTCCTTAGAGCCCTTTGGTTCTTCACTTAGAAATTACTCAGGATTCATATTTTTTTTAGATTTTGAGGTAAGGTCTCACTGTGTAATCCAGACTGGCCTTGAACCAGCTGTAGCCCAGGCTGGCCTGGACCTGCAGTGATCCTCCTGCCTCAGCCTCCCGAGGGCTGGGATCACAGGTGTTTGCCATCACACCTGTTTTACTTCCCGGCCTTTCCTAGTTCATAGGTTACAAAGCCACCAAGATGCCAAAATTCTGTTGAGAGGCTGAGGTTCACCAGCAGTGTAAAAGGTCAGCTAGCAATGAGAGACAGGCAGACCAGAAGAGAAGTACGGAGAACAAGGTACCTCGGAAGAGCATTGCACCTGGGGTGGACCCCAAGGCCTTCAGGCATTTCCCAGCCAGGCCTGGAGAGAAGCATTCAGGAGTTCAGTGTGACATGCAGACACCTCTGCCGGGTCAGCCTGCGCCCGCCTGCCAGGATGTCTCGGCTCCTTGTGGCCTGTCCCCTGCTGCCACCCCAGTGCTGGACGCCTTTTCCTCCCACTGGACATGAATGGTTTATGTCTGAGCCAGTGCCGCCACCCTGGGGTGCTTTTATGACCCAAGTTCATTGCGATCATTTCAGGGCCGCTTGTCATCCTGACCCGAGAGCCGAGTCCCAGGTGGAGGGCAGAGTGCCAGTTCTCAGGCATATATACAGCTGTTGCAGTTAGAGCAGTTTTAGCTTGCAAAACAAAAAGGAAAATAAAAACCATGCCGAATAAAGCTGCGTGAGATTTAGGAACAACTGCAGGGCTGGGCAGGCCTGGCTGCCGGAACCAGGTGAGATACCTGACCTGACTGTCTGTGTTCCAGGAGCTGGGGAAATACGGCCTGCTCTATTATAACGCGCTCTTCATGATCCTGCCCACCCTGGCCATCGTGTACTTCACAGGAGATGCACAAAAGGTAGGCCCTGCGGGTGCCTGCTGATGACTGCCGAGGGCTCGAGCTCCTGTGTGACCAGAGGACGGGGGTGTTGCTGACCAGAAATGTGTGGATCAAAGGGTGCAGACCGAGAATCTTCTCTCGGGCTTGCATGTGTCACGCTGCCCCGTCTTGGAGCATGCCATGTGTCAGAATGACCCTATCAGCGTCAGAAGAGTGTGTCTGTCCTAATTAGCTGCTTTTTCTGCTAAAGTAGAAAACAGGAATGGTAACGAAGTACCCTTGAGAAATAAAATGCTACAGTAGTGAAATTTTTAAACCTTAACAAAGTGCTAGGCATCATGAGAATTCTGTTCCTGGCAGCTGTCGTCCTGGTTTAAATCCCAGTTTGGAAGCCAGGTGTGGTGGTACACACCTGTAGTCCTAGCATTTGGGAGGCTGAGGCAGGAGGCTGATCCCACAAGGCCAGCCTGGCCATCCATCGAGGCTGCCCCCCTAAACCCTCCCAATTTGTTTATTTTCTTGAAGAGATACTTAGTACTCTGAGTGTCTTTGACCGTGTAAGTAACAGCTAATACAGTAGTTTACCGGTTTTCTGCAGTTGCATAATTTAATAGAAGGGCAAAGTAAATCCCAAAGAATTTTCCTCCATATTCCTAAAATTAGATGCCACGTTGTTAGAATTCACTACATTTTGGGAACAAGTGGAGCCCAGAGTTCTACTGTGGATTTCTCTTTCAGATTCCCTTCTGAATCCCCTGGTTTGTAGCTGTTGTGAAATGAAGAAGTTGCTTATTTACTGGTTTGACAGTGATGATTGTCCCAGACCTTTGGAGCTATGGACATAGCCTTAAACACTGTTCCTGCAACAGAGACCAGAGGCCAGCAACTCGGGGAGCTTTCCCCCGCCACCTCTTTCTCTGAAGGCACAGGCCTAGGTCACCCTGAAGACTCCCGGTAGTGCAGAGAGGACGGTGCCCTGGCCACCAGGAGGCCTAAAAAACAGCCCCGTGCAGGATTCGGCAGGTGCTATGGCTGGAAGCATTCCTGCTCTCACCAGCTGCGCGAGGGGCGGGCGGGAAGCTGGCTTCGCTGCCCCGTGCCTTGCGTTGTGGCTTTGTGTGTGTAGATCATGGAGGCCTTGGAAGAGCTCTTGAGCTCCGCCTGTTCTGCTGGGTGGAAGTGGAGGTTCAGACATACTACGCAGTCTGCCAAGCCAGAGCCGGAGTCAGGGCTCAAACCCGAGCCCCTCTGGAGGCCTGGTCTTGCCGGTTCCTTCTTTCCCTTGGGCTCTGCTGCGGCACTTCCTGCAGGGAAGGAAAGTGGCAGAAAATCACCGCCCCCTGGGGAGGAGAGCGGCTTCAGGGTCCTAGCCTGGGCATTCTGCAGTGGAGGAGATGGGATGGGTCGAGATGGTTGGGTGTCTTGAGAGCTTGGCTGAGCGGAGGAATAAAACCATAGGAATAAAATCATAGTGCCTCCCTGTGCCTCCCAAAGCCGAGGTGTTGACAGTAACATTTGTTCATTCTAGAGTGATGTGGGCGGGGTGGAAATCTGGGGTGACCTGCGCGTGGTCGCAAGTGTGCTGACCCCCTCTGGAGTGAGAGGCGCAGTGTCTGAGCTCCTGGGGTAGCGCAAAGAGTGCTTTGCTGCCTGGCTGGGGTTAGATTAGCTTTTCCTCTCCCTCTGATTTTCTTCCGTGGTGAGGCGGAAGAGTGGAATTTGAATAGTCTCTTGGTTTTCCAGTGACAGTGCCAAGCAGAGGCCAAGAGAGGTTTATTTTAGGAGAGTAATGGTGTTGGAGAATGTCAGCTCTGGAAATGTTTCCGACCTGGAACCAAGAAATAACCCTAGGTGCTGACTCACTGTGTGTCCCTCCTGTCCCATCCAAGCTGGGTTTCCGTGGAAAAACTTGTTCCTTCTCACCCTCGATTACTAATTACCATGCTGCTTAGTGAACATCTGTGGGTACAGGTGGGCAGCTGGCTTTCTAGCAGTGCTCTGTTGCTTTTTTGATTTTTTGAGGTGAGGTCCTGTTATGCAGTCCAGGCTGGCCTTGAACTCTCATGGATCCTCCTGCCTCCGCCTCTTAGTGCCAGGGTTATAGGCACTGTCCTTGGCACGCTCTCCCTCGCAGCATCTCAAGGCCGGGCCCATTGCGCTGCTCACTGCTCACTGTAACTCAATGCGGACTCAGGTGCTAAGAAAGAGGAGCAGTGGGGGGTTTTGTCCCTGACTGCCAGCCAAGCAGAGAGCAGTGGTTGAGGTTTTGGGGGTGTGCCGGGGGCGATAATGAAATGAGGTCCCCGTGCCATCTCATTCCGATGGAGTGAGAGTGTTCCAAGGAGATTCGCCTGCAGATAAATGTGGGCCTCACCAGCGACAGAGCCACCTGCTGGCATATGAAGAGGATTTGACCCCTGGGCCGTGAGAGGTTCCCACCTCCCTGTGTGTAGGAGAGAAGCTGCCACAGGTGTCCTGCTGAGTGTTTCTGGGCTGTTCCCCTGCTGCACTCACTGTCAGTTCTATGAGTGAATGTGAGACCACTGCTTAGCCAGGTCGCAGAGTGCTCAAAATGCAGCAAGACTCAGGTTAGGGAGACCCTGTGGGATCCAGAGGCTCACCAGCAGGCTCACCGGGATTCGCGCCTCCCGCTGGGCGATTCAACCCCACCACATTCGAGTGCTAGCTTGGGGACGGGTGCAGGGCCTGGAGCGCCCCCAGGTCAGGCTCCCCAATGGCACGTGTGCCCTGCAGTCGCGTGGGGTTTGGTCTGTGCGGCTGCACATGCGTGCGTGTGTGTGCGCGGGCATGTACAGATGTGTGTGCATGCTTGGGCCATGGGCTTCTGAAACACTGGTCCCCAGGCTGATGCGTGAGCCTCCCTGCCCCTGGCCATATCCTCCCAGGCTAGCGTGCGTGACCCTCTCCAGCCTCTCCTGTCCCTCCCTGTGCCTTTGCCCTCTGGGTTCTCACATTTGGGACACGACTGCTTTTTTTCTTGGCTGCTATTCTAAGGGGAAAAGCTGATGAAGGCACGCTGTTTAGTGGGTCCAGGAGCTGCTGTGTGGATGTGGAGCCTTGCGAGGACTCTGAGGGTATGGGATCTCCTTTCTCCTTTCTCAGCTGGTATAAATTCGCCCTGTGGGCAGAGCGGGTCCCAAATCCAAGGGAGGGGCTCGGTATTCCCAAGACAAAGTCACCAAGGAATACCAAGGGGGAGAGAAAGGGATATGTTCCAGGGCTGGGCACCTAGGAGGCTGAGGCAGGAGGATCATGCCAGGGTACATGGTTGAGTACACTATCACATGTGAGGAGCACGTGGGCCGTACTCTTGGGTAACATGAAAACATATGTTTACTGCAGAAACTGGAAGCGCACATGACAGTAATACAGTCCCCCGAGATTTTGTATGTGTGTACAACAGAGGGGGACCTTGCTAACTGCTCTCACTTCTCTGTGGCTTCTTGTGTAGAACCATCTAAAAGTGTTTGCAGTTATACTTTATAAAATGATAGTTTTTCTTTAAGACATCAGTGCCCCACAGTGAACCCCAAATCATAGTAGTGGGGCACTGAGGCAACAAGGCTGTTCACTGTTCATAGTCGCAGCCTTGGCCTGGTTGAGAGCCTTTGCTGGGGCTGGAGCCTGGCGGAGGGCCGTGGGGTGACTTGCAGAGGGGGCCTGGCTCTTCTAGCTTTCAGGGCCAGCGGGAGGGAAGCTGCCTTCAGCCTCCAGGGCGAGCCCAAACCGCTGGGTTCTTCCCGAGGTGCCAGGGCAGGTCTGGCAGAGCGCGTGCACGTGTGTGTGTGTGTGTGTGTGTGTGTGTGTGTGTGTGTGTGGCACGCAAGCACTTTTTCATTGCCTTTGCAAAAAACTTTCCCTGGGCCTGGGTTTCCTAGGAGCCAAAGAACCAGTATGTTTAGCATTGAGTTTTTAAATCATGTACTTTCTCAACCGTTCAGCACCAACAGAAAGAGCCTGTGTGTTACACACACATCAGCTCGCTGTGCCTGAAGAGCTTCGAGGACACATGCTGGGCCCAGGGGCGCTGTGGCTGCCCTGGAGCCCTTCCCAAACGGCTGCGGTGGCTGCCCCGGCAGGCAGACAGGCAGTGTGGTGTCCCATTGGCCGAGGCCCAGTGGGAGACAGCAGAGGTTGGGTGTGTCCTCCACGGGCAAGGGCCAGAGCTCATGGCGGGCGCCCAGCTCGCGTGGAATAAAGCGACCCTTGTTTCCGGGGCTGGGGAGGCGGCCAGGCCAGCTCCCAGAAGCGGCTCTTTGGCCACTGCCACCTCCGCCGGCCCCTCTAGCGCGGGTTTTCGGCCCTTCCCGGTCACCCTAGGACACACAGGGTGTATGTTTTCTGGCTCTGGGTGACCTTTGTGGCACAGGCGGGCGGGGCGGGTCCTTCTCCAACCCTGAGGACTGAGCGAGTGTCCTCTCTGGCTGACCACCTGTTCGGTGGTCCCTGTCCTTGCGTCCTGGTCTGTGAGCACATGTGGGCGGGAGCCAGGGACTTGCAGAGCAGGCTGGGTTGGGGGCAGGCCGCTGGAGGGACCCACCCAGCCACCGCCCAGCTCCAAAGCGCCCCTGGCTTTGAGGCCAGTGGCTCATTCGCTGCTTCTGAGGGTTGGGAGTGCTCAGTGCCCGCTGCGCCGGCAACACCCGGGCGGGGCAGAGGGGAGCAGCAAGCCCACCCACAGGGGCCGATGGTGGGGACCCCTAGAAGTCGGGTACAGAGGAAGAAGCACGTTGGCTTGTGTCTGTGAGACGGGACAGCTGGCAGTGGCTCGCCAGTGCAGGTCACACTGCGGGTGGGGAAAGCCAGGCGCAGCGCTGGCTCAGGGCAGGCACCTCAGGTCAGGGTGGGTGGGGGTAGGGTTCGGGGGGCGGGGTGGAGACCCCTCCCTGGGCAGAGAGCCCAGCGGGATGGGCACACTGAGTAAGAGGCGGGAGGGGACGGAGTTGGCAAAGGCCCTGGCAGCCCAGCGTTGCAGCAGGATGGGGTGAAGGCAGATCCAGTGAGGGGAGCCTCTGCTTGGGAACCCGAGGAGGAGCCCGGGTGTGGAGGCTTGGAGGGGGGCAGGGGTGGGGGCGGGATCGGGACGGGAGCGGGGCTGGGCAGCACGGGGGGGGGGGGGCGGGGGGGGCGGGGATGCTTTTCATCCGCGCTCCGTGCCTCCTCTCTCAGGTAGTTTAAATCGCGAGCGGTACCGCGTGCAGCCAGGCCTGTGCATGACCCCGGGAAGCATCTCGGGGCCCCAGAGGGCACGTTTTGGGAAGGAGGAGCCCGCACGTGTAGCCGTCAGTGGAGGGGGTGGGCGATGTTTGCAGTGTGCAGGTGCGGGTGTGTGCGTGCGTGTGCATGGGACGGGCTTCCAAGCACATTTCGGAAGGAGCTCGGGCCTGTGGTTGAGGGCCTGCGGGGGTGCTCTCACACCTGCGAATTCTCCTGTGTGTTTCAGGCGCTGGAGTTCGAAGGCTGGGCGGACAGCCTCTTCCTGCTGCAGTTCGCTCTCTCCTGTGTGATGGGGTGAGCCTCGACGTCCAGGGAAGCGGCTAGGGAGACCGTTCTGGGGTCCGCCCTGTTTCTGGGGGATTCCACGCGCATTCCTGCGTGTGCCCGCCTCCGTGACCCGGGCCTCCAACCTCCGGCTGCATGGGCTTAGGACTGCCTGCCCAACAGACCCCAGCCTGCCCAAGGAATGCAGAGAGGGCTTTGCAGGGCAGCGTCCCCTTCCAGCTGTGCACAGCTCTGTCGCCCTGTGAGAAAAGCTGGTCACAGCGAAAGGACCTTACTTAGTAGGATGGCGGTGACAGCGTTTGCAGGGGGGCTGCTTGACCTCTTTCTGCTGTGCCACCCTCACAGAAGAAGACCCCCCTTCCCCTTGCCTCCACCTGCATCTTCTTTCCCTGGGCCTGGGCCAGGGTGGGGGTGTTTACGGGCCCAGCACTGGGCCACAGTGGTGCTTGGTGCCCAGGGAGTCCCTCTGGCCTCCCACCTGTGTCTCTTCTGGTTTTCTCCTGTCCCTAAGAATTTTTCTTGCCACCATGTGGACCCAGAGGCCATTGTCCCACGGAGGGTGCACAGTTGGGCCAGTGTTTGCCTGGCCCAAGTCCTGGGATGCGTGGGTTTGAGGAGGGCTGGTGGCAGTGATGACAGAATCATTATGCCACTGGAGGGTGGCAGGGAAGCGGCCTGCAGGTCAGGGAGCTGCCTCTGAGCACCCGTGTTTCTGCCGCCCAGGTTCGTCCTGATGTATGCCATCGTGCTATGCACGCAGTACAACTCTGCCCTCACTACCACCATCATCGGCTGCATCAAGGTGAGTCTGAGACGACCCCGCCACCTCTGGGTCCCCCCTCCTTAGAAGACTGTTCCTCTGGGACAAGCCTGGGGCATAGCATTCCATCCTGTAACAAGGCCAAGAGGGTGCCTCCTTAGAGCTGTGCCTGACGTGGGTGTCCGGTGACACGGTCCCCTCTGAGCACAGGGCTTCTCCATCTTCAGTCTGGGGAGCCAGGCTGACTCAGGTGTTGCAGGGAAGTTCGTCAGTGGCCTTGGCCTCTGTCGCCTGCCTCATCCTGGTGCCATAGAGGCCACAGCCTGTGCATCTCAGGTGGATTAGCAGAGTGGGCTGGGCTCCAAAGCCGTGCCTGTCACGGGGCGGGGGCGGCTGTCTGTGACTTCCTCCCTGATATCTCAGTCACATCTGCAGTGGCAGTGTCTGCAGGGGGATGGTTTTTCCCTGTCTGCTGGGGTTCACTGCATACCCCCAATGGAGAGGGATCCCCTGCATCTGGAGTTAGAAGCCAGATCGGGCTGCATTAGCAGTGCATGGAGCTGGAGCTCCTGGCAGCCAGGGCACTGTAGATCAGGTCCACCAGGCCCAAGTGGGAACTGGAAGCGGGCATCGATGTGCATGGTGGGCACCTGGTGGCCAAGGCCAGTCCATCCTGTTGGCAGACTGGGGACAGGCCCGTGTCACTGATCCCTTGCCGTGCCCACTTAGCCCAGGGCTGATGGTCTCCACTGTAAACTGGGGCTCTGTTCAAGGACAGGTGTTGGAGTCACAGCTCAGGTGGGTTTGCGTGCGCTTTTTAAACACCCAGCTAAACCTGGATAACACTGTTGTGCCATTGTTCTTTTAGAATATATTAGTGACGTACATTGGGATGGTCTTCGGTGGAGACTACATCTTCACGTGGATGAACTTCATCGGTTTAAACATCAGGTAACTGACTGTAACGCTGCTGCCCAGTGTCCCAACGAGGTCAGGCACTAGCAGGGCACTTCCTGAGAAAGGGAGAGGATAGTCCCGCGGTGTGCAGTACTGGGGAACTCTCCCGGAAGTGGGAGCTCTGTTCCATGGGGTCTGGGTGGAGGCTGTCAGCTCCATCTCAGCCCTGTCCCTAGGGTCAATGGTGTCCCTGAAGGCAGGGTGACTGGACTGTACAGATCTCTCATTTCTAGCAATTTGAATTTCATGGTTTGAAATGAAATGCTGAAAAGTGCCAGGCTCTCAGTGGGGCCAGACTTTCAGCCCATGTTAGACACGGCTGTGCGCCAGCCCCCGAAATGCTGGCTGATGGAAGCTGAGTGTGTATGCCTAAAATTTCCTCTGAGCCCACCCCCAGCAGCCCTGTCCTCTTGCTGGGGCCCCCGCCTTCCAGCTACTCAGCCCAGAGTTGGCACCCCTTCAGGGGCTGTGCGAGCACCAAGTGTTGTGTGGGGTTTGGCACTTGGGGTGCTTTCCAGATTCACCCTGGCTGTGACCAGAGCTCCTAGGCACATGGGCTCTGTGATGGAGGCAGCTGTGTTTTTAGTGGATGCTTGAGAGGAGCAGAGAGAAGACTTGCCTGCCCTGCCGGGCTCCTTCTCGGTGCTCAGTGCCCAGTGCTGGATGGGAGAGGCTGTGGGCCTTGGTGGCGCTGCTAAGCGATGCAGGTGTTTGCTGTCCCAGCTGTCTCGGAGCCATCCTGCTGCGTGGCTTCACTCTGGCCCAGGCTCCTCCACAGATGGAGGCATGGCTGATTCCATCACCTTGGCACAGCGGGGCCACCCTGTGCCCAGGAGAGGGTTCAGGCAGCCGCCAGGGTCTGCAGTCTCTGGTGGGACCAAGCCCGGAAAAGTGGATTCAGCTGTGTAGCAGCCCATGGCTGGTACAGGTCACGGGTCACCTGTCCAATGTGTCCGGTTAACCCAGGCCCAGCCACCAATGTAGGAGGAGGAGACAGCCTGGGTTTGAAGATGTCCCTGGCCGGGAGCAGGCTACATGTGTGCAGCGCTTAGCAGCTCAGTGAGGGCTGCGCTGGCTGGGCTCTGAGGCCCAAAGCTCCCGGAGCCGAGCGGACGGGCGGCTGCAGTCAGGGTCCCTTCCCACCCTCTCCCCAGGGCTGGCACAGGGCGGCCGTGGGAAGGAGGTCCCCAGCCTCATGCACGTGTGTACAGGTCCAGGTGGGGTGACAAGGTGTGTGTACGTGTGGCCCTCAACACTGCCCTGTTACACGCAGCATCGCCGGTAGTCTGGTGTACTCCTACATCACCTTCGCCGAGGAGCAGCTCAGCAAGCAGGTGGAGGCCAGCGGCAAGATGGATGTCAGGGGCAAGGGGGCTGTGTGACTGGTGGGCTCGTGCGCTGGACAATCGATCCCAGGAGCCATTGCTGCCTTCGAAGACTTCATGGGAGAAGCTTGTGATTCTTACTTAAGAGTCGTCATTGCGGTTAATTTATAGCAGACTGGAAAACGTTCTGGGCTTTTTAATTTATTCTTCTGTCCTGAGAGTGAGACCCGGTTTGGAGCGTGCTGCCCCATGGCGTGCCCTCCAGCGTCCCCACCCGGCCTCGCTATGGCACTTGTCTCACCTCTCCCTGCCCCGGAGCTGCCTGTCCTGGCTGGGGTCTGCGTCCTGTGTCTCCACGGTATCACCACTGCCCGGCTGAGGGCGGCAGCTCTGTGTCGCCTGCTGAGGTCACCTGGGCTGGGGGAGTGGGTGGAGGCTAGGCCCCAGCCCTAGCCCTTCCCGCCCATGTCCCTACGTGGTCACTCTTTGCAGAACTTGTGCCTGAGTGACCAGCGTGCTGGTGGTGTGTGTCATGGAGGTTTATTCTTCCTCTGGGGCCGTGTCCCCCAGGCCCTGCCCTCTGTACTGTGGACCTGCAGCAGCCCTGGGCTCTCGCTCCCTGGCTAGGCCTGCAGCTTCTGTCCCCCTTGGAGGTAGCTGTGACTGTGGCCCAGGTAGAGGAGTGTCCTGACCACTTTTGTGGTGTGCAGCCTGGAGTCCTTCCTCTGTCCTGCATCACTGCAGAGGAGGGTGGGGTGTGGGGAGGACTGGGACCTCAGGGGTCCTGGACCTCAGGGGTTACCCATCTCTGTTTCACCAACAACAGAGGATGCGGAGCCCACAAATGCGCATCTGCCCAGATGGATGTGGCTGGGGCATAATCCTAGGAGCTCTCTGGGGCCCCCTGCTGGCCCCCGACCTGCACTGTGCTGCCACCTGGTTGGGGACCTTCTGGGAGCCCTTAGGAGAGTTCTCTCCAGTGTTGACTCAGCCCGGACCAGAGGGCTAGGCTCCAGAGTGGCTCCCCCAGGTCTGCTCCCTGATAGTGGGACATCACACGTGGTCAGGGCTTGGCTGATTTTGGCCTCTATTCTGCGTCCTGCTGTCCAAGGCCATAGGTGGCCGCGCACTTCTGGAGCTCCCCCAGGCCGGCAACCCGTAGCCCTGGCTACCAGGAGTGCATGTGCTGAGCTGTGCCGGGCAGCATTCTCGCTGGGTGGACAGAGGTAGAGGACACTTCTGTCACATGGACGGTAGCTGTGAAGGTGGGGTCCTCTGGCCAACCTGCAGGTGTCCAGACAGGTGGAGTGGCCATAGGGCTGCTTCTAGCTGAGGAACCAGTCCCTTGTGAGCAACGGCTTGCACACAGGTCCCAGGAGTGCACGTTGGCAAGCTGCTGTCACTGTCATCGTTGGGAAGGGGCAGGACGGTGCTGGCAGATCCCCAGTGAAGCCCTGGGACCCTGGCCATACCTGGCAGAGTCAGCAGCTGCCAGGTGCCCTGCCCAGCTGGGGCACAGTTGGGTCGGGGGGATGCCCCTGCCTCCTGCAGCCCTGTTCCTGCCTGGCTCCCCGCACCTGTGCAGGTGTCAAGGCCCTGGAGCGTATGTCACAGTCACTGAGCTCCCAACTGGGAATCGGGAGCCCTGAGCAGGCACTACAGGTTGGGCTGCCAACCCTTAATTCATCCTGGAGGGGCTGGCTGCCTGAGGACCCAGGGGCCTAGAGAAGGGATGCGGGAGACTCTTTCTGTTTATTAAGAGGAAAAATTACTTTGATATTATGGCGATAAACTTCAAAAAAGGGAAAAATTTTCTATCTCAGAAGACCTGCGTTTCACAGTGGTGATTCAGCCAAAACCTCAGCTTGCCCCTCAGGGCCGCCCTGTGGGTGAAAGCCTCTTCCAGGCTAGAGTTTATGCTGGGCTGCACATGGCCTCCTGTCCCAGTGCAGCTGCCAGTGTGCCACCACTTTCTGACCTGCTGGCCAGCTCTTTCTCTTGGGGTGCCAGGTCTTTGTGTGAGAAAATACTCTGCAGCATCCTCTGTTTTCTAAGTCTTCGTTGAGTTTGAAAATCCTTTTTAAAAAGAAATCTACTGGTTAGATTTACTGTCTCACAGAAATGTTTTAGAGATTATTTTGTTTATGAACATTTCTTCTCTCATGCTGGTGACCAGCTTGATTGCTGTGTAGCCTTTCATGATATTTTTTCAATACAGATTTATTCTTTTTACCAAGTTACTTTTTAAAGGTACTAAGAGTTGAGTTATGTAAATCAGGTGACATAAACATGAAAATTATGTGCCTAAATATTTTTGTTAATGATGTCAAATAAATACTTTTCCTGGAAGCCTGTGTAGGAATTCCTTTCTAAATGCACAAGACAGATGCAGCACCCGTGCCTGCTCACTGGAGGAAGGGCGTTCAGGTGTTTGAGGGGTTGTTTGTTTTTAAAGGGTTTTATTTTCCATTTCTTAGCAAAGGCTATGTGTCCACAGCAGGTGGAGGCTGCCGTTATTCAGGCCAACTCAATGCTGCCTTCATGTTCTGTAGCTATAATTGTGTAGAATTTACTGTTTTTACTCAGACCCAGTGAAAATCATGATGAGCACAGAGAGCAGTGTGCTCTGATCGGTCTTGGACATCTCCAAGCGCTTCCTCTTCACTTTCCCTTCATGCCTGTGAATCTCTGTGGCACAGAGGAGACCCACAGATCACACGGTGGAGCGGGCGGCTCAGTGGTTTCCCAGCCTGCTGGGGCTGCCAGGCGCCCGTGTGTGTGTGTGTGTGTGTGTGTGTGTGTGTGTGTGTGTGTGTGTGCGCGCGCGTGTTCTGTGTGCGGTGATTTCCTCCAACGCCCAATGTCTTTCCTGTATTCGGTTTTTTCATGACAACTGTGGTGTTAGAGTCGAACTTGGCACCCTCCGTTTTTATTTGCTGAGTCTTGTGCCTCTGCCCCGCTCATGCCTGGCTGGCATCTTTGAGGTGTTAACTCAGTTTTGTGCCCCTCCTGAAGGGACCCGTGTTCGGGGCAGCATCATCAGCGTGGTTCAGACAGCTCAGTGACCAGACGAGGTTTGCTGGCACTTAAAGTCACTCCATCTTAACATCCTCCTTTTGGTTAAAATGCTAAAAAAAAAAAAAAAAGATTTTCTTTGTTCATTATTACATCATTTAGAGAATTATGTCTTGCTGACATTATAAAGATGAATGTCTCAGATACAGAGTTACCTAGGTCAGTGTTGGATTTCTATGTTAAAAGAGCTGTAGTGAAGAGAAAGAGAAAGACCTATCTTATAGAAGAATCCCTAAGGGAAGGGAGTTTGTTAGAGATGAGGAATATTCTTCTGGCCGTGTTTTAACAGCCTTGCTGAATATATTAACTTTGGGACATTTAAATTTTCTCTAGTTCCAGAAGTCAATTGCGTGGGAAACCCTGCCCGTGAAAGTTTAGTGATTACCAGGTGGCTTCTGGAGAGGAGACCGGGGTGTCCAGCCTCTTCCGTGGCAGGCAGAGGCAGCCGCCTGGGAGGGAGCAGAGGGAGCACCCGGGGTGCTTACTGCCTTGCAGATCCATAGAGGCGGAGCAGGCCCCCTGCTCACCCCTGTCTTAGTAACTTGGTCTTGCATGACTTTTTTTTTGTCTTTTTGAGAGCCAGTCTCGCTGTGCAGTTCAGGCTGGCCTTGGGCTCACTTTGTAACCCCAGGCTGGTCTCAAACTCGCCACAATCTTCTTGCCTCAGCCTTCAGAGTGCTGGGGTTATAGGCCTGTGCCATCACGCCCACTCTTTTTTTAAAATTTTTATCACCACGCCCACTGTTGCATGACTTACCATAACAAGCACCTCACTGTCGCGTAGATCCGTGGCTGTAAAACTGTCGCACTGCACTTTAAGGTCCAGTGGCTGAGCGTCTTTTCCGAAGCTACACTGAAGGCGCTCGCTCCCTTCCTCTGTCTGGACGCCCCAATCCGTGCCTCGGCGCCCCCTCGCGGCTGCACCCTCTCCTTTCTGCCCAGTGGGTGGAGGATCCCTCTCAGGCCTAATCAGAATCTCCCTGTTCCGGCGCCAAGTATCGGGGACCCGGCCAGGATTCCCAGCTGCCTGGATGCGAGGTGAGGCCGAAAGAGGAAACAAGAGAGACATACTAGTACTGCAGGATGGGGGGCTGGAAGCCAGCACCCCAGCAAGGCAGCTGCACCCGGGGTGACCATGCGCTGGGCTGGCTCCGCCCCGAGCCGCGGGGCAGTGGGAGGAGCTGAACGCTGGTCCCACCTGCTGCAGGAGCAGCTTGCCGAGGGCCTGGCCCTGCAGGTCCTGCTCACCAGGGGCGCCGGGGGTGCGGGGCGCTGAGCCCCTGGGACAGGCACGCCGAGGCCAGCTAGCAAGAGGGGGCCCTAAACGCACTGGAGCAAACGCTTGTGAGCGCGTGCTCGCCCTCCTGGCGGTGGGACGGAGCCGGTCAGCGGCGGTCAGCACATTGGCCCCCTGCCTGTGCAGAGCCCGCCGCGTCGCGTCCGCTTTCTCCCTTCCCTGGGCAGACAGCATCCGTTGCTTAGGGACTGGCGTCCCCCTTGGTGTCCTGTCAAGGTCCAGCCAGGCTGTGGCACAGGTCAGGGTTTATTTTAGTTTTTTTAGACAGGGTTTTGCTATGTAATTCAGTCTGGTCTCAAACTCACTATGGAGCCCAGGATGGCCTGGACTCCTGGCAAACTTCCTACCTCAGCCTCCCCGAGTGTCAGGATTGCAAGTGCGGGCCACCATGCCTGGCAGCTTTTTAAGACTGAAAAGTCCGTGCCTCCTGGCCGTTTACACACCCTCTTTGGAGGAGTGTCTACTCAAAGCCTTCTTATTTTAGTTCAGGTTTTAAAAAAATTGTTGAGATCCTTTAGATAGTCTAGATTATGACCCTTTTTTTCGGGTACGTTATCTGCATTTTTTTCCTATCCATAAGTTTCCTTTTTTCGCTGTCGATATCCTTTGAGGAGCCAAAGTTCTAAAGTTTTAACTTTTGGTGCCTTTGGTGCCTTTTTGTGGCATTTTGGAGATTTGATTGCCAAATCCGCTGTCCAGTTTTTTTTTTTCCCTAAAAGCTTTTATGCTTTTGTTTTTCTGTGGTGCTGAGTGTAACCCAAAGCTTTCGGGGTACTGAGCTGCAGAACCCACTGTGCCCCCTCAGCAAGCGCTTGCAGTGGAGAGGCCCTGCCCATGCTTCCGTCCCCACCTGCGGGGCACAGTAAAACCCACACCCCTGGTCAAGGATAGCTGCTGTCCGGCGTGCGCCCTCTAGTGGCCACTGCCGCTGCAGGCAGGAGGGGGACTGACCAGGCCGAGCGGGTCCTTAGCAGTCTTTCCTGCGGTTTCCTGTGCGCTGCGCTGAGGGCTCAGCAAGGGATTCCCTTAAGGGACAGTGACACAGGGACGGCCTCACCCTGGGTCACCTGCCCTGGTGCTGCTCCCAGCGGCTGTGGAGGACGAGGATGTCAGGGCGTCCCCCTCAGCCCCGCTCCGCAGGGCGGCTGCCTGGAGGCAGTTCGTGACCTTCCCAATGCCCCCTCAGGTCACATGGGGCCCGGGGGACTCAACAGGGGCCTCATGGTCTTCAGCCTGGTCCCCACTGAGCTCCTGGGCAGCACGTTCCGCGGGATCCTGGGGGACCTGTGGCACCAGGTCGCAGACTGGCCAGCAGGTGTCACAGGTTGCCTACATCCGTCACACCGCTCCTGGGGCCTCTTCCCATTCCTCTCTCAGTGGGTGGGAATTCTCTTCTCAGCTCGGACTCGAGGGTCGAGGGTCGAAAGGCAGATGGTTCGGACTGCATGCCATGGCTGTGCCTGCCTTGCGGAGCACATCTGTCTCCCTTGGACACAGAGACCCACTCGGACCACACCGGACAGGGCAGTGTGTGCCTGTCAGCCCAGCACTCTGGAAGGCTGAGACAGGAGGATGGAAAGTAGTCGGGCTGCTTTAGTACCCTGGCAAGACCTGGGGCCAAGACGGAGGGCTGTGGAATGCAGCCCAGTGTGAAGTCCTGGGTTTGCCCCGGTAGGTACCACCGAGGCTCCAGGTGCAATGCCAGATCCCTGCACAGAGAAGGCTCTGTCTGGGAATGCGGAACAGTGCTGTGACTTGAGCTGATAAGCCACTGGTGCCTTGGGATGGACGTGTGGATGCCGGGCCGGCTCTGCTGAAAGCAGTAGGGATCAGGCGTGAAGGCCAGGCCCCATGAGCACTGTCCCGGTCCAGGTCAGGTCCCCACGGGAGCCTCCTGTGTACAGCTCCAGATGCTTCCCAAGTGTGGGCGGAGGCCAGTTCACCTCTCAGCCAGGATACATCCCCTCTCCCCCAAGGACATGGGACCCCCAGGACGCAGCTGCAGACCTTCAACCCCGATGACTTGGGGTGTCCAGCCTTGGGCCATCTCCTCGCTGTCCACTTCAGCCCTGTGACTGTGATGCCAGAGCCCACGAGGACTGGAGGGCACAGCCCGGGCCCACAGGAGGCTCCTTATGCACATGGTGGAGGCATTCAGTGGGGGCCACTACATGTACACTGGGGGTTCAGGGTGGTGGTGGTGTTTGGGGAGTCCACTGGTGCTGACAGGAGTGGGACAGGCCCACCTGGGTCCCAGGGTCAGGTTGTAGCCCCCTCCCAGGTTTGTGTGTGGCACTGTCAGTGGCTCAACCTGACCTTCGTTCTGTGAGAAGTCACCCCAAATCCTCACGGGACCCCTCTCCTCCTTATGGTGTGTATGAACCATGACCAAAGTCATCTTCCTTCAGGCAGAAAGAATCAAAGCACTTGTTTTCAGTTTTGGTACTGAGATTTGCACTCAGGACCTTGCACTCACTAGGCAGGGGCTGCACCACTGAGCTGCATCCCTGGCCCTCAAAGCTCTGAGCTCAGAATCAGGGTGCAGGCTTCGGCCCCATGCAGAGCTCGGCTCTGCAGACCTCTGGACAAAGGTGCGTCCTAGTTCTAACCACTCCCAGTGTCAGTGACACCACATCTACAGCTGGGATTTGTGGGTGTTTGTTGAGAGTGGTGGCTTCTGTCCTCACCACTGTCCTCCCGACCCCAGAAGCTGCTGTTCTTTAGGGCTGGAGGACCAGGCGTTTGTGGTACCAGGGTCTAAGCGACAGGGTCTCTTGTCACTTCTGACCTTTAACCCGGAAGAAGCCTTCCCCTCGGGTCTGGTCAGGAACCAGTGGTGCACTCCAGTCCAGCTAGACTCTGTGTCCCCGGTGACTGAGGGAGGTTGCACAAGTGTTCAAATGGCTTAGAAGCAGAAAAATGACATATGAAATAACCATGCTTCATTGGAAACACAGGAGCCCCAGCACGGGAGAGCCCCACCCAGCCCTGCAGCCTGGGTGCTGGGCAGAGCCCGGGGAGATCACCTGTCACCTTTGTGACTTGGTGAGGCCATGAACAGCCGCTTCCTGGGGTCAGAAACCCCAGTGGGCAGAATCAGGAGACACAAAAACAAAGTCATTCAAGTAAGAGACGCCCTGAAGTGGACACCTAGCCCCTCTTTCCAGCCAGCACCCCAGGGGAGGAGCCTTGCCCTGCCCCTGCCTCCAGCCCTCTGGGCATGGGTGCAGCCCTGCCCACTGCCTGTTCCAGGGGTGCACCCTGCCTCCCTCAGGGCAAGTGAAGACAGCAACATAACGGGTTCCATTCTCCCTAGAGTTGTCCAGGGAACACACAATGGCGGGCTGACTGGAGAAGCTGGGTTGCACTCCCCCCGCCAACCATGGTCACCGAGGCGGGGCCACGCCTTCGACCACTGAGCTGGCCACTGTGTGACCAATGTCAGATGCAGTCACTAGGATCCTGGGAGCTCAGCCAGGGGGGACTGTCCACACCATGCTAGGGACGCAAGCGTGTTTACAAAAATAGTTTAATAAGCATATTCAGAGTGGCAGAAGGGAATGGGAGGAGGAAAATATTTTACAGTGCAAAATTACTATGCATAAATTTAAAAACATCTAATTCATTATTTAAATGTCTATTTAAATATTACTTCAAATACATGTGAAAGCTCAACAGAGTTGTGCTGAACTGAGTTGCAGGTGACGAAACCATCAGAAAACACATCAGAGAACAGAAGCCCCATTCTGGATGGAAGCAGAGCACGTCCTGGTCACAGTGAGGTGACCGAGGGACCGTGGGACAGGCTGCTCCTCCCGCTGCAGTTTGTCACGAGTTCGAGTTATGAAAGGTACTGAGTCTTAAGCAAATTAAATTCATGATATTATAAGACCCTTAAATAGTGCAATGACTCACCAGGTACAGTGGCTGCTGCATATGAAGAACACGGTGAGATACCGCGTAACACACAGTACAATCGCCACAGCGTGCAGTGGAATGCCCTCACCCTGCGACTGCACAGGGTTAAAAGCAGAATTCCCTAACATTTACACATGTGCCGCTATTTGCAAACATGCCTGAGAATTTACTTAAAATGTTCCTGTATCGATGGTTTGCAAAAACTTTCACAAACCAGCAAACAAAACACATCTTTCAAAAAGGTGGAAAGGGTATCTTTCATATTGCAACAGTGTAAGAAGTATGGCATCCCCTCTTCTCCAGACCACCTGGGAGGGAGAGCTGGGGTGCTCTCCTGACTAAGATCTAATTCAGAAAACGCGTGGGGATGTCTGCTAAAGCTGCCTTCTGGATAAACTAATGTTTGAAGAAAAACACACAACAACAAACTCCTGCTTCTCCACACAACACCCCAGACCCTGAGTCCTGAACACTCAGGCAACCACAGTGCACACATCCCGGGTGCCAGTGCTGGGGAAAAGGAGCCACCAGAAGGAAGAAGCAGCCTCGGCAGGTGGAGGCCCGAATGTCACCTCTCAGTGTCAACTGCCTTCCACCCAGCTGCCAACACCCCCAGCCACGGCAAACAGGACCGCAGGCGGAGCCGAGGGCCACGTCCCTGCGTGTCTGTGTGAGAAAAGAACCACCTTTTACAAAGATCTGGATCTGGGCTGGGCTAGCAGCTGGGTGAAACTAGGCTCTGTAACAAGAACTGCACTGCAGATAAACCCCTTTTCACAGGCTGTGCCCCAGTGGTCACTGCTGCTCTCTCATCGTGGGAGATCGTCATCAACCTAGACTGGGCCGTGACCGGCAAGGTCAGCCAGCATCAGCTCTGCCGCTCCCCTCCTAGACTCAGGGTGCTGCCACCAGAAGTGGCTCTCTGCCTGGGCCAGGGTCCGGGTATCACCCAGCCTTGCTTCTGGTGTCTGATGCAAAAATGGAAGCATTCATGATGCATATAAACACAACCCAACAGGAGTCTGGGCAGCGTGACACACGTAAGCACTTAAGCTGGACAGTAAACCTTTGTTCTGCTTCAAAAGTTAATTTTGAAAATTAGAATAAATGCAAAACAGTAAATCTAAGAATCATGCTTAATTCAGAATTCTCAAACTATTTGTCCTTAGGTAGAAATTTGAAAAAAATTTTCACAATCCCTTATGAATGTTTTTACCATCTGGATAAGAAACATGACTTAGTTAACTACACAAACACTTAAAAATTCATTAGAAAAACCTTAGCAAAATAAAATGGAAGCTGACGGACTCGGAATATCAACTCCTCTCATAAAAGTTTACCAACTGTACAAGTTAAGAAAATTATACAAGCTTTTTGTGTTCAGAAAGGACAGCTCAGTCAGACATATGTACTTGTAAAAATCCTTCAAAGGCTACAGAGAATCTGGAAAAATACAGAATGTATTTCTTGAGCCCAGATAAGAATATGGAAAGACATCATTGATGTCAACAATTTTACATATACAAACCTGACTTGGTTTATTTTTAAACTTCTATATATAAAAAATCATGCCAGCATAACTTTCAGGATTCCTGAGGGTTTCTCCTTAGTAACCACACTGACTGCAGATCGAAGCGTGTCTATCAGACACCGCAGGGAATCAGAACTGGTGCCAAACAGATCTGAACCTTTTCCATTGCTCTGTATCAAATCAAGGAAAATTTATCTTGTAGTGAAATCTTATGACAGGGTAATAAAAAGGTATGCATTTATCTTTAACTTGTTCAAATTTACTAAACTTTTAAAAAAATATCCTTAAAAGGGTCTGCCAGTTTTGAAGTAAAAGAACTCATAAAGGCAGAATTATGAAATCTCACTTCTCAGAATCACCCATTACCATTTTCGTGGTTAAGCCCCGGCTCTGAGGCACTCAGCCCAGAAGGTCACCCGTCAGCCCTGAAAGTTGCAGTCACAGAGTCACTCGAGCAGCTGTGGCTCAGTCGTCTGCGCCCTCCAGCCCCTCTGCCTTCCCGCGTGGCGCAGCTTCCTGGAAGATTTCCACCGAGCCCGGACTCTCCTTTCCACTGCTGTTCACCCTCCGCTTTTTGGTGGGCCTCTCGCTTCTATCATCGAGGTCCCCCTCGCCCCTCGCCGCCAGGTGTGCGAGCTTGGGGTCAGCGCCCAGGCGCTCGGCCTCATAGCCGTTGGTGTCCGTCTCCGCGGGCGGTGGCCTCTTGTGCCCGCCCATAGGCCCGTTGACGTGCGGCCCCTCGCCCTTGCCTTCCTCTCTGCTTGCTGTGTCTCCCGGTCCATTTGATGACACACCTAGGATGGAAGAAAAGTAAAGTAGACTACTGATACCAAGACGTCGCCTCTGCAAGCACTGCACAACAGCAGACGGCCTCATAGCAGGAGCGCGGCACGGGCCAGGCCTACAGGCCACCGTGGCGCCTCGCAGAGCCCCGGGAGGCAGCGTCACATGAAACTTCCGTTTTCTGCTGCAGTAATTTTGTGTGTCATGTGGCTTTGTGGGTCACACAGGTCCCCAAGCAGACTGCAATAATCTGGCATAATGGCACAGCCCAGGTGCCGCAGTGCCCCTCAGCACTCTCCGCAGACTCCAGCCCCTCCACATCAGAAAGCCAGCCCGTGGGCACCACAGTGACAGCAACCCCTAGGAAGCACACCCAGCAGGGATGCAGGAGGCGGCCGGAGGGAACCGCACTCTAACTGCCGAAACACTCAGCCTAAAGCAGGAGCCTGGAACACACACCCGGGTCCAACCACCCAGCCATGCGTCCCTGGGCCCACAGCAGAGAGGCTGGCGGCCCCATGCTGGGCAGGGCCCGTCCTCACCATTCTGGGCGGCGTCCTCCTTCTCCGACTGGCTGCTGCTGCTGTTGGAGGCTGTGGGCGGCGGGGATGGAGCCCGGCTGGAGGCGGCGCTCTCGCTCTCATCCAGGAGCCGGTCCATGTAGTCCCTGAAACCACAGCACACAGTGGGTGGCCCAGCCCGTCGGGAGACCTGTGCTGCCAGGGCATTTCCCTCCACGGCCCATCCCAAGGCCGGGGAGCCCCACCCTGCAGGGGTCTGTGTGAAGAGGCGGAGGAGTCACCTTCGGGGTAGAAAATCACTAGGACCAGTGATGAGGACTGTCACCCTTAAAGCTGTCCTTGACACCTGTGTGCCAGTGGCCTTATCTATGTTGTTTTTTTGACACAGGATCTCACTATGTAGTTCAGGCTGGTTTTGAACTCATTACGTAGCCCCGGTTGGCCTCGACTTCTGGGGTTCCTGTCTCAGTCTCCCAAGAGCTAGGATGACAGGTGTGTATCACCACGCCTGGCCTGCAGTTGGAATTTTAATCTGTGACCCCACTGTCACTTGGGTTATTAGGATGTCATAAATACAGGAATAGGATGTTGACCTCAAGGAGCTCAAGCGGCCTAAGGCACAAAACTAATCCTTGGGACAGAAAGGCAGACCGTGAGTGGACACTGTAACTTGGGGGGCATGAGCTTCACCCCCAGGAACGGGGGAGGCAGTCCAGGGCCACGCTGTTCATCAGTTACGGGGCCGGTGAGAACTGCAGAGGCCATGGTGTAGGTGACGGGCACAAAGGGAGCGGCAGGAGTGCGGGCTGAGGGAGCCAGAGGTGGCCAGGCGCCACTGTCTCCCTATTCCGAGTACAGCAGCAACACAGAGGACAACGACCAACTGCTACCGAGGGACGAAACCAGACTGCCCGGCAAAGGAGACGGGGAGCACACAGCCGTCCACAGGACAGTGACGGCCCCAGGAACTGGGTCTAGACTGATTTTCACTTCAAGAACATTATTTGGGAGGCTGAATATTTTATAATGAAATCTTTAATTTGCAGATGCCCTCAATTCTTACAGGCAGAAAACAGGGAAAATCTGTAGTAGGATCTTGCAAAGGCTGTTTGCAGACCACAAAAAAAAAAAAAAAAAAAAAAAAAAGAATAAATAAAGCCTCATTCTGGTGACAGCTGGCATGCAACACACGGCAGGGCAAGAGGCCTGCTCCTCCCTCTTCCCTTCGCTTTCATTGCTTTTGGTGTCTGCTGCAGCCGCCAGGCACCCTGCCTTGCAGCCAGCTGAGTATGGACTGAAACTCCACAACTGTGAGCCAAGTCAACCTTGCCTTCCTTTTGGACCTTGGGTATTTTGTCTCAGCAATGCAAGAAAAGTAACCGGACACTGCTTTGATAATGTGAAAAAAGGATATCTCAGTTAAACAAACAGGGTAAGACCTATGCAGGACTCCACTGAAGCTCATAGCAGCAGGGCCACCCTGCCAAGGGAGAAGCTGTGGTGGTTCACTGCAGACCGCTGCATGCAGGGGCTGCTAACTCCACAGCCTGAGGAAAGAGGTCTGGGCTCCTCTGAATGGGGTTCCTCAGCCACAGGAGAGCTGACCTCAGAACAAGGGTAGTGGGGCACCCCCCAATGCCCAGCGCCAGCCCCCCTGCTCTTCCTGGTGAGTGGGGCTGTTCTGCCCAGCATGGCGCACAGACTCTCACTGCCAAGGGAGATGCGGCCCAGGTGGGAAGGAGGAAGCTGGAACTACTCCCTTTCACACAGAAGGGCTTGAAGACACGCTATGCAGCCTGGGTAGCTGTGCCTCACTCCGCATCGCCATGCCGTGCAATCCCAATGAAACCCAGCGACTTCCCAACACTAAGTGTGCCGACACAAAGCAAGCGTGCTGTCCTGCCTGCCACGCCACCACAATCACAGCTCTGCGTGGGAGGGTGAGGCCGACTCTGCCCTGCTGCTGCTCCGACTCTGCGCTGGAGTGTGGGTGCTTGGTTTTCTCCGAAGCAGTAGGAAGATGGCTGTCTCTAAGTCACTGTGCTAGGCAGCAGTACAGCCACACGCCTGAGATGCACAAGCACCCGGAAGGTGCTGTGCAGGTGTAGACCATGGGGCATAGCTGTGCCGCTTCCCCTCTGTACACATGGGCCTCTCGAGGCTGACCCACTTTACAGTATTTTTATGCTTTTTTTCTTTTTAGAACTACAGTCAAATCTTATTTTGGCTCCTGGGATCAAACTAGATTGGATGAAGGAAAGAAATGCTCATCCCCCTACCCCGCAGGCCCCCTGGCCACACGGCTGCGCAGTCTGGAAAGAGCCATCTCCGTCCATGCCCAGCACTGTCCCGCTACTGGACTGGATGGGCCATGCCCATAGCTGCACTGCCGCCCCTCTCCTAGGGACACCTACTGGAAACACTAACACTTGCTTTGCTGACTGTCTCAAGACAGCGCAGACTGTAGTTAATAACCTGATGCCAAACTCGGAGCGCCTATGAAGAGATGCAATGATGATAAACGGATGTGAACTGCATTACAAACCAGACCCTAAAAATCATAGTCCTCTTAAGCAAAGATACCAAAGCTCTTTAGTGATAAAACCCACAGCTCTAAAGGCGGAAAAAACCAACTCACGTTACACCAGGATGAAGGTTGTATTTCTTTTTTCCAAATCGTGTTTGCTGAGCAAAGAAATCGTAGCGTTCAGACTTTTTCCACATATAATAGAATGCTACACATTCCCCAACCGACCTTGTTCGGACCTATAAAACAAAAATGCTGTTTTTACCAAACACTTCTTCGTTACTGGAGCGGCTGCATGAAAAATGTCTGGAGTCTGAAAAGAGATGAGCTGTGCCATCACCGACACCAGCTGGCGCGGGCATAGCTCCACCTCCCGAGTAGCGAGGACACGTGGCCCTGGAGTGTGCGTGGCCCTTGGCTTTCTGGTTCTCTGCTGCGGGGCGTCCTCTCTGGAAGTGTCTGCCAGGGTGTGTGGGCCAGATGAATACGCGTGTGGGCCAGATGAATACCGTGAGTGGCTCTGCCAGGGTGTGTGGGCCAGATGAATACGCGTGTGGGCCAGATGAATACCGTGAGTGGCTCGTACCACGCTCATACCAGCACCTAGGGCCGCCCCCTGAAGTCCCCTTTCAGAAAGTTCTCCCAGTAGCACTGTCAACGTGCCCGCGAATCCCCAGGCCTGCAGGCTGCGGTGCCCACGGCCCTCGGTGCTGCCCTGTCTGCCAAGGGAGCTGCCCCGTCTGGTGCCTCTGGCCACTGGAGAAATGAAGTACACAAATCAAATGCTCAGAGTTTGACAGAAAAAAAAGACACCAGCAGCAGTTTTCTGGATGTGAGCAGATTTCTTACAGTTTCTAGTACTGTAACAAATTTGGATGCTGAGGCAGGAAAACTATGGCAGACCCCTATTCTGCCCAGCACGCAGGTGTCCACAAGGTGCGCTTCTCCGCTACCCGCACTTAACCACTGTGACCCATTTTGCTTTGAGACTGAAAATAACTGGGATTAAAAAAAAGAAATCTTTACACGCTCTTTTTGACTTTCTGTAGAATCTTTTTTCTATATAGGTTTAAGCCAAGTAAACCTTACTATACTGAAAGAAAAAAGAAAGACACTTTGGCACATGCAAAGTCAGCATTACAGGAAGTCCTCCGGTACAGAACTTAGGGTTAAAATCTGAATTTTAATTCCAAGTGTAATCTTCCAATTCTTTGATGTTCTTGCTCAGGGACTGCTCTGTCCACCCTTTGCCCACCAAAGCCACCAGCATGAGTCTGTGCAGGTCACAGGCTGTATACCCTGGACTACTGGAGATCGCCATCCAGGTACTGTTTATAGGCAGGCAGGCCGTAAGACCTTCTGCCTCACATTTGAGTTCTTAGGCTTAGAAAGAAGCAGCATTGCTGCTTCCTCAGATCAGACCAGCCGTCATCCCAGGGTGCTCTCCATGGGGAGCCAGCCTGGTCATATCAGCAGCAGTGACCTCAACCAAGAATGCCAGTGCTAGGAAAATTTTTTACAAATGATCCTTTCAACCATGAAATGTGGATTAAAAAAAAAATAGCCAGCCATCAGCACCAAACAATCTTTTCCCAGTGTGGATGTTACACAATGATATGAACCCCTGAGGGCCAAACATTTCAACAGCAATTCTGCTGTCCTCCACATTCTCCTAAATGCTAAGACACAACATTTCTCTGCATTAGTTATGTCCAATATTGTTTACCAGAATGAAAAAAGATAATTAAGAATAAATTAGTTAATGTATGGAAAAGTTAAGGAAAATGAACTCACAGGATGTGGGCAACTCTTACCTGTAAACAGGAATCATGCTAACTAAGGCTGAAGGGACCCCACCCAGCCAGAGCCTCAGGGTGGGGGAGCTCTTGGGGCAGGGCATTTGCCTAGCAGAGGTAAGGCCTTGGGCTCAGTTCCCCGTACCACAAAACAAAAGTAAACAGAAGCAATCTGTTGGGGTGAAAGACTATTTCCTTTTTTTTTATACTGGGGAACTGAACTCACAACCTAGTGCTTGCCAGGCAGGCACTTAATGCTGCTGAGCTACATCCGGGCCTGCAAAAGACTGTTTGGATACAGCTCTTGTGAGCTGCCTGAAATACTGCAAAGCCATCGTTAGGGAAACACAGGACACTGAGGTCCTTGTGTTCATCCAAGAAAAATAATGCAGCATTGAAAGCCTAGGAATTAACTCCCTGTATTTAAGCTCTGATACCTTAATTTTGTCTTGTAAATCTTGTAAAAACTAATTTCTCTACCTATAAATTGAGCAGCTGCTATTAAAGATCCACCTGAATTCAGTTCTAAGAATTAAAAAAAAAAAAAAAATGCAAGTAATCAGGAAGTTCTCAGGGGACAAGCACGGTGCACCAACACGGAATGAGTACTGACCACACTGAAGAGAACTCTAAATCTATGACAACCGCAGCCACGCCTGACTATACCAACCTGCTGGTGCCTCTGGGAAGTTGGTTTGAATCTTAAGCACCTGTTTTCAAGCCGGCACTTCCAGCCAGTGGTGGGAGGAGGCAGGGAGAATTCGGGTTTGAGCCCAGTGGGGCAACACACAGCAGATCTGCTCCACAAAGGAGCTCTCCCGGGGTGCTGGGCGACTTTAGGGTTCAAGCCCAGGACTTCAAAAACAAACAAAAACCAACGTGTCTTACATTATTTTAATCATATTTACTTCATGCTGAAAGTCCTTTAAAATTTCAAACTTAAAGATTCTACCTAAAATAGCTGTCACAGACAGAAAACAACATTCGGCCCAGCATCACACAAACTCCAACCCAAAGCTGACTAACAGACTATTACTTTGTGCCAGCGGGGAATGAACCAAGGGCTCTGGAAATGGGCTACATTCGCACCCCTTTCCAATTTTTTCTTTTGAGACAAGGTTTCATTGAGTCACAAGCTGCCCAGACTGAGCTAGAACCTGTCATCCTCCTGCTCAGCCTTGCAAGGTGCTGGGAAGATTCCTGAACCAGCATGCCTGGAGTTCGAGCCTTGAGACAGTTTAATATGACATGGTGAGCACAGTGACCTAGCAAACTTCTGCTAGGAAGCACAGCTATGCTTCCTGTAGTAATTAGCTATGTCCAAAGATGGTAATATTCACTACAGAAACTTTAACATGAGAGAACACAGCAGATACAAATATTAGTTTGTGTTACATTTTCCATAAAATGAATGTGTATTACTACTTACTTTGTTAGCCTGAATCAAATGAAAATCTTTTCCATAGGCCTTCAGCCCTTGTTCAAAATTTCTGCATTCTTCCTCTGTCCAGACAGACAATTCCTCTGACAAAACGAGGGGAGAAACTGTTAAGCAATATTCCCTGAATGCTGCACACAACAAATGAAATTGCAAATAAAAGTGGGGCTTTCGGGTAAGAAATGAGGGAAACATTGTACTTGGAGCAGTAAGTAATCCTCTTCACTGCAGAAGATAAAGCAAGGAGAGACCTGCAACTCATAAACGCTGACCGACTGGTCCCTGTCTGGCCTCCGCTGGGCCACCTTCGCCTTAGTCCCTGAAGCACTGTGCTGCCCCCTTCAATTCTTCGCAGTTTCTATGTGCTTTCCTACCTCAGATACAGTGCACAGCGCCCTGCGCCTACAACAGCTCCCTACTTCCTCCCCCATACCACCATCACCTAGATCCCAGCCAAATGTCACACTGTTCCGGAAGTTTCTCTCCTCCCAGCTGCAGCAGCTCCATGGGAGGGGAGAAGGAAGCCGGTGTGGGAACTGCTCTGCGGCTGGCTCCCTCCTGGTCTGACAGCCTGGAGGCTGGGCCCCGGGGTGCAGTGAGGCCCTCAGAGCCGGGGCGGCCTTCACGCTGCTGCTGCTGAGCTAACCAAACTCCCAGGCTGTGCCCCACAGGAGGGAAAAGATGGGACTGGAGCCGGCTTCACCGGTTACCAACGGGACTGGCCTCACCACTGCCCTAGCGCTCACAGCTGTCCAGGGAGGGACAGCCATCAGGTCACACGGCTCCTGGCCGCCACTGGAGCACCTCAGGCACCCCGCGACTCTTAGGGAGTACTAGGCATTTCCCAAGAAGAAAGGACAACCCTAAGGCCCTGCCCCCCAACACCTTGCAGGATACTGACATTCTGCAACACCCGCTGGGTAGCTAGGCCCAGGGGGTGTCTGTTTATGTTAAACCCAGGAGCTTCATGTTTGTTTTCCTGCCAAGTCATGAAAACACACAGAGGCGGACAGTAGCACTTACCTCGGGCTGCTTTCACATTAAACCGTAACCTCCTCAGTGCTTCTTCCGTATCAAAACTGCACTTAACCAGTTCGTACAGAGCCTGGAATCAAGAGGCCCTGCGTGAGAGCTGGGCTGGGCAGCCCCTCGGGCCACAGTCCAGCGCCTCCCAGGGTCTAGCATTTGTGTTCATTATTTGGGGCCTGGGGCGAGGGGGAGCACAGTAATTACAGTGAGCACCACACAGAAATGCCAAAGAGACGCGTCAATGGGCAGTGTATCAGGACTCTCCAGATGCATGCCGGGTAGGGCAGAGCTGCCGGCACCCTACCTCAGCAGCCACAATGGCCAGAGCACCCAAAAGTAAACTACACCCCACTCTCCCTGAATGCTTTGTGCTCTCTCTGTGGCTTTCAGAGACCCCTACCAACATTTTAAGCAAATCAGAGAAGAAAAACCATGCCAGGAGGGTTTGAGATGTTGGCATGTCACACTCATTAACAGGTGCTGGTCCCCCACACGCACAGGGACACTGTCCCCAGGAGTATCACAGCTGGCAGTGGCTGGGGCTCTGAGGACGGGTGGGCCCAGTGGAGACTGCTGCCGAGGAGACCAAGAGCATGTAGGGCTGCTCGGCACACGTACATTCACATGCACACGCACCTGCTCGTTGTCTTTGATGTGTGAGCCCTCAGGGATGGCCTCCACGCCCTTCTCATCACCTGTCCTTCTGGACGCGTCCTTGAGAAACACAACCACTCTGTCTTCTGGCAGGTACTCGGGGTCCCACAGGAGCTGGTCATCGTTCTCGTACACTGCAGGACAGAACTCAGAGTTAGTCTGCACTGCGGGACCCCGCACAGGGCCCGTCCCAGGCCAGCTCCCCGTGTGGTGCAGACATGTGTTACTGGGTACTGGGCAGAGCCGCTAGCAGAGTACTCCCCACACGCGGCCTGCTCGGCTCCTGCTGGCGGCACCAGGCACCCTCTCCTGACTCTCTCGCCTGTGTGTGTCCATGCTGCTCGGAGATGTGGTTATATAAACCACTTTCACAAAAACCCAAGTTCTAATGTATAAGTCCCATCACCACCTCTGGTACAGTCAAGATCAGAGCCTAAACCTCCTGCTGTTTATAAAGCAGAGGAGGAGGACGATGGGACTGGAAGGACCGAACCAGACACAGGGGTCCAGCAGGAATCCCAAGGGTAGGTTTCAAGGGCAGTACCAGGGACGACACAGGCCGCAGCGGCTGTATAGGGAACACTCTGGAGGTACTGCTGTGGCCTCGGGCACTGGGAGAGGCCGCATTGGCCAAGACTGAGGAGCAAAGGGTAAGCGGAGAAATGAAGCAGAAAAATGCTCTTCAATGTTCTGGTCTCCGGGTGGAGGCAGAGGTAACCAGAGGGGGTGGAGGCACAGAATGTTCTCAGTACTTGGACTTCAAAGCCCCAGGAAAAGGGCTGAATGCCCCCAGGAAGGAACCTGGCTAAGCAAACTCTGGAGAGACGAAGGCTCACCAGTTCTCCAAGCCAGCCGTGTGGTGCAGGGAACGTGAGGTGCGCACAAGTCGCCCACCCTGTGTATACATTGCAGTTCGCCAGCGGCTGTGGAACTCCGCGAACGCACCAATTTCCCAGCCTGCAGGTGGAACTCTCGGCGGCAGCCTTAAACGGGAAGGCAGGGGCACACAGCACCGCCGCCTGTTCTCTGGGAAGAGCAGACCCTGAGCTGCGGCAGGAGTCCTGCCTGCCCTCTGCCGCCCACTGCATCTCAGATGCCCTTCACATGAGGGCTCCACAGGACAACCTGGACCGCGGGGCATAACCCGCCTGCCCCCTCCACAGCCTCAATGCCCATGCCTCACTCCATGAGCTGAAGCTCAGATGACAGCGGTCCATGTGGCCACAGGGCCTACACCCTGCTGCCTTAACAGTTTCTGACATAGGCGGAATTATTTTCCCAATATGTTTACACATTAAAAAGTAACTTCTGATTACAATCAAAATAGGTTATTTTTGGGGCTGGGGATTTAGCTCAGCAGCATAAGCGCCTGCCTTGCAAGCAGACAGTCATGAGTTCAATCCCTGGTACCGATAAAAAAGAAAAAAGACAAAAAAAAAAAAAAAAAAAAAAAGGTTATTTTTAATTGAAGGTCTATTACTGAATGAGCAAAACACCAAAAGGATCAAAAATTCAGAACTCCAGTACTGTGGTCAAACACTACAACCAAAGGAGAAACAACACCCACATAGGATGTGAAAGGTTCCCCATGATACTAAAAACAAAACTCTGTGTATAGAAAATGGAAACACACTCCAGTAATTACAGTAAGTGACATAAGGGTGCCCTCAATCACCACATGGAATGCAGTGCTATGAGCGCTTTTCCTCTGAACCCACACACTTGAGCAACCCTGAGGGCTGAGCCCATACGCACATTGGCATTACTGGGTGACAACCTGCCTGCAATTGCACAGGCAGAGCTGAGCAAGTAGGCATTTGACATCAGGGCAGAGTGGCTGGTGCTGGCCCCTGACCTGGCCGGTCGGGAATGGGCCCAGCTGCTGCGTGTCTCATGCATGCACAGAGGAGCCTGACAATGGCGGTCGTGAGCTGGTGTCTAGGTAGCAGGCTGTTTCCATGTCTCACGTCAGCCACTACCCGGAAGCCAGCAGGGAGTCAGCAAGAAACAAGAGGGAGGTTACACATCGCAGGGAAAACTGCTCTGACATGAAGCTGAGACCACAGTGGGATCAGGAACCCAGGTCCTGGTGAATACACACACACTCACTAGTGGGCTGCGGCTTTCCTGGAGGAAGCAGTAACCCTTTCCTAAAGCCCAGGTAAGAACTATCCAACAAAAGAGTGCACGCTGAGTTTCCATGTGCAGTGCTACAATGATGGGGGCCACAACCAAAACCCCAAGCCATTGTACTCCCTGTGAGAGTGAACCTGGTTTTCAGTCCTGCTGCTTCTTCCCACCTGTGGGCTAAATGGGTGCCTGTTTCAACAGCACCAGGACAGGCTGAGAACCCAATAGGGAAACCTGAACCCACTATGGCCTGAAACCCAGAGCCCTTCCGTCCCAGCCTACGTTCCTCCTGAGCCAGAGCCAGAGCCAGAGCTGCACTCAGTGGCGCAGGCCCGAGGGCCCAGCTAAGCAGGAGGCAGCAACAAAGGGCCTCAATCTGGGAAATGCAGACCCTGCCTCAGAAACAGGAAACAGGGTATGAAATACCATCTGGTATGTGTATATGTGAAACCACCTACATGGTCCTTTACTGCCCGCTGTGGCTCCACTCCAAGCCACCTGCTCTGTGTGTCAGGCAAGTGCGAACCCTGACTGGGGACACAGTGAGTGTTATCTCCCTCCTTTCTAACCTACCTTTCCATCTGATTCTCAGCCGATCCAGCAGAGTTTTGGTCTCCACGCTGGAGGGCGACTCTGAGCACGCAGCACTGTCCCGTGACCACAGGCTGTTCACCAGTGGCCTTCTATACTGTGGGGAAACTGGCGTGGACCATGGTCAGCACACACAGAACCCAAGCTGCCTGTGAGGCAGGGTGCTTTCTACCTGCTGTTCAGGCCGGACAGGGCCAGCACTGCCCCCAGTAGATGGGACAGGTGACCAAGCCCAGGCAAACCACTGTTCACTGGTCTCTGCTCAGCGACTTTGGGCAACCAGACACGACTTTGGGCAACCAGGCACGTGGGCTCTGCTAGACTGCTGCTACAGCTCAGGGAAAGGAAACACTGGCTTCTGTGGGTCCACTAGCCCCAAGACTTCCGGAAGGCTCTGACAAGCACTCCTTGAGGCCGCTGCGCTGTTGGAAAAGAAACCGAAGGCGGGGAGGACCGCTGCTCTCCTGGGAGCCCCCGAATCCAGTTATAACTGCAGTTGCGTCAACGCAGTTCCAGTAAAGCCACTCAGGAATTCCTTCCTGCTTAAGCTAACTGAATGGGTTTCTGTTACCTGCACAGAAAACGGCATCTGTGACACCTGCTCAGCAGTCTGCCGCCTGCCAGCAGCCGTGGTCTAATGCTGCTGCTGCACACACGATATGCACCGGGACTGCCAGGTGCAGGGGCTACAATGCAGGTGTGACAGCTGCTGAGTGAGAGGTGCAGCCGCTGAGACCTCACAGAGAAGGTGACGTCTCCAGGCCGAGCGCCTCTGCCTCTGCCAGCAGTTTTGTGAGCTCCAGTCTGTGCCTAGGTAGGAACTCTGGCATCCACTGCTTCACTCAGGCCCTCAGTGCTGAGAACTGGCTCATACAAGTAAGACCTCAAAGATGAGTGGCAAACACAGAGGACTTCGGAACCTGTGGGTTATGCCATCTGTGTGCTTAGCCAGATGCACACAGGAAATACTCAGAAAAAGCTCTGTGCCTGTACCAAACCTGTGCAGACTTTTCCTTACCATCCCACAAGTAGCACCACAACCCACTAGTCCCCGAGTCTCGAGGTGTCAGGGTGAGAGGCCACTGGGGCATGAGCTGCAGCACATGGGCAGTGGGAGAAGAGGTGCATGGCTGTGCCACTATGGCAGGAGAAGCATGCACCCAGACGCTGGAGCCAAATCCAATCCTGTGGCCAGGAGGGGATGCTGCACACAGTAGCTCAGAGGGCCGATGAGGTGTGGCTAAGGGAATCCTGCACACCAGGCAGGCACAGGCGTGACGGTGACCATCGCAGCTGCTCACATCCGGAGCCACAGGACAGGGAGGAGGCCTAGAACCTTATCGCAGGCGCAGCAAAGAGCGACCAGAGGAGAGGGAGGCACCTGCCCATGTCCCGCTAGATGCCCGGGTAAGACCTGCGTGAGTGCAAAAGAGAACGTGGGCCCACTTGCCAAGCCATTCTTATAACACAGGTACCGAAGTTGGGGTACTTTTATTAAACAGGGTATGTTTATGTTACAGAAAACACCATGTGAAATGTTTCCCATAAACCATTTAATTAGTACTATGTTTTTGACAAATTTTATTTCTAACAGTAAAGTACAATTTATATAATGGTTTGCTTAATTCCTAACAAAAGTCTGAATTTCCTCAAGCTTACAATAGAGCAAAGGCCCTCTATGACAACACCTTCAAAGCAACCTCATTCTTCTACGGTCTATATCTTCTTTACACAACCCAACAGACGCAAATTTTCAAAATTCAAAAGCTTCACAAATCACATCTTTGTTGAAAAAGACTAGGTATCACTACTGTGTAAAATCATGTGGAAATTGGTAACATCAAACCAGAATTAGCCATATTTTTAAAATCAGAGATTATAATCATTCATTTACTGTGATATGTGAATATATATATATATATATATATATATATATGTATAAAAATTTGTGTGTATTGGAAATTGAGTTCAGGACCTTACACTTGTTGAGCGATAGTCCCGATCCTGATAATAAATACTGAAAGTGAGCTATATGGAGAGATCACTTAAACTGTCTTTAGCTGTAATATTAACTTGAAATGATCCCTTTCATCTACCAAGTACAAAACTTTCAAAGGTACTACTATCTTTCTCAGCTAAAAATAAAAAGAAATTCATGAAGAACAACCAAATAAAGGCCTGGTTTTTATTCCTTCATGTATCTGTAGAATGAATGTAATGGTGAATGTGTGCTATTATGTGTAAGGAAGCACAATAGTATTCTAGTACCTGTAAATAAAGCGTATTTAAATCTCAACTGCCAACGGCTCATTTATTTCTGTATGCAATCAAAACAAGTCCATGGAACACATGCAGAGAATTTTAGTGTTAAACCAAGACATGGACCTTGGTGCCTGCACTGCCCCTGGCTGCTACAGGAACTGACTTAGGAAGCCAGCACAAGCTGTGGACTCTGAAGGGGTGTGTGAACAGTTCTTTTGCAGCAACTGACTGCCTAGTGGTCCCCTGGCTGCCAATGCCCGGACACCCAGCCTGAGCACCAAGACCTCCACCCTACAGCGGCTACAGCCTGGCCCACACCAGAAGCCCTGTGTGTGCACAGAGTTGGGGTGCAGGGAAGAGCACGAGGTAGAAGGAAACTGGCCTTGCCTGCGTGAGGCCACACTGCATGGGAACTCCGTGAAGATACACACGGTACTCCTACCTAACAACAGCGATCTGAAACAGGTTCTTGTTTTAAAAATCCTCAAGAATTTAGTAATGAAAGTACAACTTACCATACGACATTTAGATAAAAATGACAAAAGTCACGTACAGTTTAATTATACAAGTGGTATTCCAAATTGTTAAAGTGCAAATTATGCTCTTTTGTAGTGATGTTTCAAAAAGTAAGCTTTATCAATTGTTTATATCCAGTTTGTTTTTAAACCTATTACTGCCATAAAATAACTTACTTTTAAAAACTAAATAATAAAGGACAGAGAAGAGTCAAGTTTAGGACTTTTAAAATATGGGAGAAGTTTTGTTTCTCTTTTCTTTGAGACAGGGCCTCACTATGCAATGCAGGTTGGCCTTAAACTTGCTTATATAGCCCAGGCTGGCTTTAAACTCCCGCCTCAGCCTCCCAAGTGCGTGTGCCACCATAACTGGCTTCAAAAAAGTTTTAAAAGAAATGGTTGGGATGTTTTAAATCACTTAAATACAAAATAGCATTTTCTCTTTTTTAGACTTATATGGAGAACAGTACAAACTAGTAAACATAGTTCTTATAACACAGGGTCCTCTCTCATAAGCTAAAGAGGTTATTTTTCCTAGGCTGTCACATTCTTAATGCATCTCACACGAGGTAACAGTTCGTCACTTCCGAAAACCCCCAGCAGCTCTCCACATCAACTCACCCTTTTCATTTTCTTTGTATCTACACACGCCGACTGGAATCTCTGCTTGAAACATGGAGCCCACCATTATCTCCTGTTTAGAGAAAAGAGAACATTAATGGGCTTAATGATGTCTTACATTCTCTCGACTTTCTCAGTCATAGACCAGATGCAGAGCTCGAAATGCAACTCACCGGCACAGCACCTGCCTGCCAAGTGCAAGGTCCTGAGTCCGAGCCCTGATACCAAAACGAACTCAAAAACAAAGATACAAACAGAGGAGTATGGTGAGGAGGACTGGGTGAAAATATCCACAATAATACAGTGGATATTTTCAACGCAGACAGTGAAAACAAACTTGACTTCAAGACAGACTCTGATGACACAGCTGGACAACCCAGGACGGCCTGGCCATCTGAAGGTGGAGTGTGGGTATTTCCAGAGCGCCTGCATGGAAGTGGGGCAGGGCGCGGAGGTTGTCGCACGCTCAGGGCCTTAGGAACTTGGGATGGGGCTCAGCCCCCCATGCAGGCCACTCTGACAGAACTCAGGTCTCGAAATAGCCTTTCGGGTAAGAGAGTATGACAGAACTCACGTCTCGAAATAGCCCTTTCGGGTAAGAGAATAATGCAAGGGTTTCCTTAAAGCCCAGGAGGGACCAAAGGGACAAGCAGCTTAGCAACTGATTATCATTAAACAGAGAGAAAATGAGAATGCATTCCCCATAAAAACATTAAATTTTACTCCAGGAAATCTGGTGATCAAACGTCTATCATCAGAGTGGGTGAAACTGGCTGTTCAGGAAGCCATCAGGGGTCCCAGCAGTGGGTTTCACAGCCCACAGGACACAGAGCATGCAGCCCCTCCTGTAGGAGGAACTGGAGGAGCCAACCTACCGCGAGGGATGGCACTGACTTTATGGTCGGGGTGCCCTGGCTGTTCTGTCACCCTGAGAAGGAAGATCTCCCTTAACGACTATAGCCTCACAGGTCTGGCTCCAAGTGAGTAAGGTTACTAGTGGGCCTGTACCAGACCATCAGCTCCTCGCACTCTCGGGTCTCCAGGGGCACCGTGTACAGCACCGTCTCTCCAGAGTGCCTGTCTTCCACTGTGCAGAGTCCTCTACTGTCACTTCCTGGGGCCCTTTTAGCTTTATTTACTGGTGCCTACTGCAGAGTAGCCAAGCCAATAACCCTACTTGGGATGCCTGCAAGTATCAGTGCTTGGGCCTGTCAGATCAGGATATTATTGGGTACGGACAGGATGTAACTGTTATCCAAGTGACTCTGACGTGAAGCCAGAGCTTAGAAGTCCTGACGGCTGTAAAGGTAAGGTACTTCCTTCTTTTACTGAGCTCACCTGCCGATTCCTTCTGCAGTGTACAAAATGGAAGAAAGACAGCATTTAAGACCATAATTATTACCATTATGTATTACTTCTTGTACATAATTTTCATTAACCATACACCACACCCCATAGACTGACACTATTATTCCCAAATTGTATGTGAAAAGGTGAATCTCAAAAACACTTTCTTGGGAACACACAGTAAATTCCATGGCTACTATTGTCTTTTGGAACTGGGGATCAAACTCATGACTGTGCACTTGCCAGGCAGGCACCTATGCTCCTGAGCTAAACCCCTGGCCATCCATTTCTACTGCTTAAGTCAGGGTTTACGTAAAAGTTGTTTCCTCCACCTTAGTTTCTATGAAAATCCAATTTCATCTTATACATCTTCGAACATTAAATTTCAAATCTTCATCATTCTGTATCCAGCAAGACTGCAATGAATCACGCTCTCTACACTGCTCTCCGGAGAAATGGTTTCTCCTCCGCAGCTGCCAAGGCTTCCTCTCTCCCATGTCAGCAACCCCAAGCTTTTCTCCACCACTTAACAAGGAAACCACTGAACGCATGGTGGAGACAGGCATGTCTATGAACTTGAATGGGTGCAGGAACCTGCTGTTTAATAGGGCTCCAAAGCCTTCTCTTCCTTTTTTCCTCTTTCTTTGTGCATGGTGTAGGAATCTGATTAATAACGTAACCGAACAACTCCTTGCGGGTCACATAAGCAGGAAGGCACTTTTCTGATCCCGCTCTGTGTCTTCAGTCCCACCACTCACTCACAGGAGCTTCAACATACTGCATCCCATACTGCACCCGTCCCACTCTGGCCACACCACATCGTGCTCCTAACTCCTGCATCTCTCGTGGGCTTCATGGAATGCGACACTAACAGTGCAGTTTAACTTCTCGGAAGGATGTCCCTACACACAGCACAACACAACTCCTGGGGAAAGGGGCCCTGTTTCTTCACAGCTGCACACCAGGGGCTCAGGCCCTTGCTGAAGGAGGTGGGCTCATCAGACCCTGGCACCGAGGTTAGAAGGTCCTCACCCCACATTTCTGCAAGTGGACACAGTGCATGTCTACACCACTACTCCTCAGGGCCAGACTCCAGCCGAGACCTAGAGTTCTCAGGAGGCTCAATCTAAGGACATGTGAGTCATTTAATTCTTCCGAGAGAAACAACTCTGAATATGAGATATTCTTTTACTTCACCAGCAAGGCCATCAGCGTAGGTCTGCCCCCTGCATTCTAAACCAGACAACTTTAACCATCTTAAAGCACACAGGGGCACACCCACTGCCCCCCAAAATCTGAGGGTCCAGAAGTGTTAACTAATAATTAAATGAACTTAAAAAGTATAGAAGTCCACTGATTTGGTGTTCTGTGTTATTGTGCTTTCAAAGTAATGATTGTTTATGCATTAAATTTATAAAACAGATCCAGGAAGAAGAGGAACATAAAACACTTACGTGATGTTGTTTTTAAAGGAGAATGAATTAGCAATCACCTCTTAGCAGGGATAATGTCATTTCTTCTTCATGAGTGGTTTTAACCCAGTCTGCACATATTCTGACGTATGTTCCTCAGAGGTCCACATCTTTACAACTAATTATGAGATGCTCTTTAATTTTATAAATAAAAGCTAATGCAACTGTGTAGTTACAGAGCAGCTCATCCTGTCTCTCTACACAAAGAAGACTTGTCAGTTACAACTGTCAACATTAAATTTAATACCGATTCTTACTTTATAAAAAAAAACCTGCCATCTAAACTATCAAAATTTATGGAACCGTCATCGAGGATGCCACAACTGTTTTCACACTAAACATATTAAAAACCAAATGGGATACTTTTGGCAGAGCAGCAGAAGTCTCACTTGGCACCCACTTATGACGAGTTCAGAGGCCTGGTTGTCAGCCTCGGGTCTGGGTACTGACCCAAAACCAAAGCTCCGTTCTTTCTGTCCTGCTGTTTCACTGGCAAAAGATAAATACATCTCTCATCCAGGTGCACTGAGGAGAAACCTGAGCATTTACCAAATGCTTAAATGTCATCAAAGAGCTTACACATCAATTTTATCAATACACATGAGAATAATACACTTGGTTTCTTAAATATTAATTTATCTCTTTTGGAGCAGTAAGTTCTAACTACCTTTTTCCAGTCTTCTGATGGAATATAATCTTCATCTTCTTCAGATTCTTCTTCTATTTCACTGTCTAAAATAAATAACAATATTATACAATGATTGCTCATTCTGTCCACACTTACATCTTTATATTATTTTTAAATCTATCATCAAATATTTATCAAGTTAGTGGCATGTGCTGATTCAGGCAAAGATATTCCAAATCAAATAATCAATAATTTTTCACTTAAAAAAAATCAAGGGGCCAGGGCAGTGGAGCATGCCTGTCACCCCAGCACTCGATAGGCCAAGGCAGGAGGATGGCTGTGAGTTTGAGGCCAGCTCAGGCTATGAAATGAGCTCAAGGCCAGCCTGAATCATATAGTGAAACCTGCCTCAAAAAAGAACTCCCCACCAAAAATCAAAGGAATGAGTAAAAAAATCATAACTCTTCTAGAAATCTGTATTCTCAGGAAATGATTTCCTATAAAAACTCAGGAAATGTGGAGTTAAGACATTTTCCAGCCCTAAGTCTGGTACCAAAGCCTGGTGACAACTCAGTGACATGATTCTGATTCGTCTAACTCATGAGGGTCTGGTTTCCGAGCAGCGCTCCTCAAACCCTGAACCCTAGAGCTGCTAGCGCCACCTCAGGGAGTGGAGCCTGGGAATGGAGGTCACGTTCTGCAGACTTCAGCTCTCCAAGCCTCTGTCTTCTTCCAAGTTAGGTAAGCTGCTGTGTTCACACTTTCACTGGGAGGGGAAATACGAAAACCACTGGAGCCAGCACATGGGACCAAGAGGACGCATGCATGGCAGTGGCCACCAGCCTCCTGTGGGAAATCAAGGTGGCAGCAGACCTGTGCTCCTGTGAGCTTGGCCCAGGAGACAGCAAGCAAAAGTGGGAACGCCCATCCCGAAAGGCGCAACAGAGATACAGCGGGCCTGGTGTCTGCAGACTCCGGCAGTGGAGTCTAGCTAAAGGAACACTTTACACAGACAAATTCACACCATGACTCCTGTCACCAAGCCTTCCTGGCACCAGCACACTTTCTCTTGAACCAGATCTTTGGTGGAACTCATGGCACTTCTCATACAAAAACTGTAATTCGCTTCCCAACTGAGCAGTCACCCTTGGTGCCAGGCATGCTTAAACAGCGGTCGCCTTAGTACGTCTCATGAAGTTCCATCTCTTCATGTCCTTTCTTCCTTTCCAAATACAGAAATTCAGATCACCAATGTAACACTACCAAGCCAGCTGTTCTGAGCAAGCAGTCACCTTCTAGACTGACTTGGAAGGAACAGGCAGCAGAGGCAGTGACCACACACACAGGAGTCCCCACCTCAAGAGTGACTGCCTCGGACTCAAGAGCATGAGGCTGCCAATGTTAAGTGCTTGGTCACAGCCATGCCTGTGCGATCCTACCTCAGTTTGCCCTGCATGGCACAGTATGATGGGGGTTTTGGGTGACTGCATCATTGAAGATGTCGCAGCCATCTGGGTCTATGTGTATGTATTCTAGGGCTGTGATGTGACCCTTTTAGGTCCAAGTGCCAAATGTGACCAAAACCCACTTATTTGTTGCAAAGCACCAACACTGCCTGAATGCTGAGGTTTTAGTGTCGACAAAAAACTGACTCCCTGGTAACATATTTTATCTTAAAACAACATGCGTGCCACAGAGTCACCACTATTCTAGCCGGTCCACACAACCAAGAAACTGCTGAACGATACAATTCTTACAACACATTGCTCTGAATGAACATGACAACACCTCAGAAGGCTACAAGGCAAAGTAAAGCAGAAAAATGGAACGGGCAAGATGCCAGGACAGGAAAAAGTACAGCTGGAGCCAAGCAGCACCGTGGCTGCCATTGGGCATTCACCAACCTTGGGGCCCTGGTCCCCTCAACTAATAACCCAAGGAACCCATCTACTTCTAGAAGAGATTTCAGAGTAAATGAATTCAAAAAGGGCAGTGGCACATGTGTTAGAATTTTGGCTAACACATAAAGCAGTGAAATCTTTATTGTAACTGCACAATAACACTTACTTGTGTCAAAATATTTACACCTGCGTGGGCGGATCATTTCCTGCGCGTCTTGAGCAGCAGCAGACTGCGACGGGTCGTCATTGGAAGACTGCGTTTCATCCTCCTGACCGGATGAGTCCTTTACGTTCTCTTCCTACCAGACAATAAATGACACTTACTTAGGTGCAAAGAACACTGCCCCAGACAGAAAACATGACATTAATGAAGAACAAATAGGGAAGTCCAAGCAGTCCACCTAATGGTGGTACTTTAGCGCTGACTTGTTAGTTCTGATAAAGTTAGTATCAGGGGAAGTTGGGTAAACAACAGACAGCAGCTTTCTGTGTCAACTCTAAAACTCTTCTAACATCTAAAATTATTTCAAAATAAAATAAGAAAAAATAAGCACAGAACTGTCAGCTCTTCCTGTTTAAAGTTAATAGTATTTTTAAAAAATGCTATCACAAACTACTTAGAAAAGCAGAGAAGAAATCTAAAACGACAAAACAAACTGTCCTCTCAGAAGTACAGCTCAGAGTTTCCAATGTCTGTGTTACATGTGGATCAGTACCTTTTCAACATTTAATCTCTTTCTATACTTCACTTATAAATTATATTCAGAATTTGGCACTGTCTGTGATTTCTGTCATTCACTACAGGTCTTGGGGTACACAAGGTGTGCCAGAAGCCCACAGTAAATTTCTCCCAGTGGGAGACATGTTGCAATGAACTCCCCTCAAGCTAATCACCCCCACCCCAGGAACACACCCAGCCGGGGTCCTGCCACATCCTGCAGTACATCCAGAGCTACTGTCCCCTGAGCATCTGCAGCTTCGCTGTCAAGGCTGCCTCAGGGTCCTGCAACAACTCAAAACCTTTTCCTTTCATGGTCACTTTGCCCCTGGGGAAGATCTCGGAGTGGCTCGAAAGCTGACCTAGTGAGATGGATGAGCACATGTCATAAGCCTGCCTTTCTGCTGGATGGCACTCGGCAGCGGCAGTCCCTGTATTTTTGATCATACCCTGCAAAGACACTTGGAAAATGAGACTTCAGACAGTGGCAAGCAGAATGGGAAGCAATGGGGAGTGTGTGTGTGTGTGGGGGGGGTGTCCAGGGGAATGTGTCTTTCACTGCAAGAAACTTCACTCATGGATTTGGTTTTGTGAGGCCAGGTCTCACTACATAGTAGCCCAGGCAAGCCTTGAACTCTTGGTGATGCTCCTGCTTCAGGCTCCCAAGTATGGGATTAAAGGTGTGTGTCACCAGGCCTGCCTAATAAATCTTTGAAACTTTTAAGTATTCACCTTTTGATTTCCCACTGCACAGGCCCCCTGGCTAGAGATGACATGTGACCTCACCTTATTCTCTCCACTGCAGCCACTGTGGTCATCATTATCGGCGTCTTCGTCATCTTCCCCTTCCTCCTCCTCCTCCTCCTCTTCCTCATCCTCTTCAGGTAGTCGGACAGTACTGTCGTAACCATAAAGGCTGAGAAGTTCATGAATTGGCATGTCGCCTTCCTAAACAGACCAAAATAAAAGTTAGTTTTTTATATCAAGTGAGTTCATATCTTTAGGCTATACATAAAGCTGCACTCTATGCACTTAAAAACACACATGAAAAATTTTCCAATTGGGCCAGGGATTTAGCTCAGTAGCATAAGCACTTGCCTGGCAAGCACAAGGTCACAAGTTTGAGCCTTGGTACTCCCCCTAAAAAAATTCAAATTAAACAAGTAAAACTGAAAATATTTTTGAAAACTATGAACATCCCAGTCTTTTAAGTATTTCTGTAAAACTGACCAATTTTAATTTTTTGACCAATTTTGCTAACAAAATCTGTTCAACTAAAATGAAAGTGACATTTGTCTAAAACTATTTTTTGCAACCAATCCAGTACATATATAATGACAGTCAATGAGAAGTTTCACGTGGATTACCTATTATTAAATGAAGCATATTGATTTGGAGCAAGCGAGATTAGGAAATAGGCTTTCACCTAAGTTAATAAACCCAGGAAGAAATGAAATGCCAAACACAATGGCCAAAACACATTGAAAAGCAGCGCCAATCCACAGATAACACTGCATTAGATGCTTCCCTGTGGTGTCTGTGCCTCTTCCGTGGAGAATCACCTCACGCTACCATTTCTGCCCATGTGACAGAGCTGGCCTCCCATCTCCTGGAAAAGGAATCACAGGCAGCTCCCTTTGCAGTCACAAGTCACACAGATGCAGCCAGACCAAAGCACTCGCCTCTAGGAGCCATCGTCCCCTGAGACACCAGCCGCCTTATCAGGGCTTCCATCCCCCAACACCCTTCAGCAGTGACGTGGGACAAGCTTTCTGGAGAAGATACTCTAATCACTGGTGAAGTTGTACAAAGTACGAGGAAACACGATGAAAACTCACATTATTTGAACACATTGGGCATGCACACAACACACAAATGCATGCTCTGAAAACCCACAGAAAAGTCAGTGTGGGAGCCAGAGAATGCTGTGTGTGACCAGCATTCCGCATGGCCTTAGCACTCTGTGTCTTACTAGGCACAGAGAAGTCGAGGCCATGTGTTAAGAGACGCTGTGGCTGAGAGCACAGGACAAGCTGGTGACACTACTGCTGAGATTACAAAAGTCACTCCCTCACTCGGAATCTGTGAGTGAGCAGCAGTGTAACACTTCCAACATACACTTTTGAAACAGGAAGAAACTACTGCTACTGCTCCCTTTCACACTGACACGACTGCACACACCGGTGCACCCGCTGAATGATGGCAGACACCCTAAGCCCGCAGCCCTCACACTGCTCCGGAGCATGATATGGACAGTGCTGGACGGCGGGCAGCAGGCCACATGCCACCCTTGAGTGGAGGACACTGAGACCTGGATTAAAGGGTCAGTGCTTTACAAATAAACAGAACTTCACACTTGCCAGACAGACACATGAAGGGCGGGCTCTGCACAGGAGCAAGCAACTGTTGGGAAGCACCTCTCACGTGGCAAGTCTAGGTTCCACACTTCGCTCAGTTTTTCTCTCTCAAAAGGGAAACAGAGCCACAACAGAATCTCACTGGATCTTTAGCAGAACTGGACAGGACTGCCTACTTTTGTTTGCTACTTCTACCTGCAGATAAGGAAACCAGCAGGGAGAAACATACTGTACTGAGACGTCAGTGTGACCCCCAGACCTCTAAGCCCAGCTTGCATCCTGCTCGATGGGCCAGAGGTCTCTGGGGAGACTGCTGGTGCAGTCTCTGTGGCTCCCACTCAACATGCACAGGCCCCAGAGAACTGATGGCAGCCCATCTCACACTTAGTTCTCCTTGAAGCTAACCTAACACAGGGTCCTAGGATGTACTCGTCTGAGTTTCATTTGCAATCAGGTTTTATTATGCGGCCCAAGCTGGCCTACAACTTGAAATCCTGCTGCAGCCTCACCAAGGCTGGGATTCCAGGTGGCAGCTACCTCACACCTGCACACAGCGCTGAGAAACCACAGCTACCTCACGTTCCAGTCTGACCTCCTCCTCTCACTGGGCCACAGCACTTGGCCACCCTGAGGAACCAAGTAAACTATCAGTCAGATCACTGTTTTCTCCTGATGGCCTGTCATTTGAGGGCATCAAAAACACTTTAAAGCTTTATTTTCAAAAAGCGCTGGGTCTTGTCTTGGAGTCCACGACCCATCAGGTTTCAGGTGACGGTGCTGGTACTAGCAAGGGACTGCCTTCGGAAAGGCACACGTGACACACCCATGGCAAAACACCAGTGAACCATTACCCTACAGAGGAATGCTTCTGGTCATCAGACAGAAGCCTTGTCACCTGCAACAACACAGATGGAAGCAGAGGTCACTCTGGGAAGTGAAGCAGACACAGGAAGACTAAGGTGGGTTCTCACTGTCTGGAGACACAAGTAGCCGACCCTGTTGGGAGACCAGCCTGGACAGGAGGCACTAGCGGGAGGGGCTGGGGTGGAGAGGGGCACTGGGCCACTGTACAGGGTGACTTTTGGCTCTGCATCACAGCAGGTTAAAATGCTACTGGTCACAATGACCTGCATTTCCAACGGGTAGCAGAACACACAGATGACTGATGTCCAAGAGACGGAGGTGCTTCCTCTGATCTGATCCTTGCAATCTGCACACAGGCACTGGATCACCATGTTTACCCAGAAACCCACGCGGAGACAGGCAGCAGGCAGCTGACAGTGGGCTCAGGCTCACTGGATTTAGCCTTGGAGCTGGAGGCGGCCTGTGTCTTCTGGCCATCGGTTCCTTGTGTTTTCCTTTGGCTTCCTTATTCTCTTGGCCAATTAGCACACTCTACAGTCTCTTGTTTTTCTTAGTACACTATTCCTTCAGAGAAGCTCATGGCATTCGTGGTGTGGGACATGTGGAAAACGCACTAAATCTTGGGTGCTTTCTTTTTTTTTCATCTTTTTGAGATAGGGCCTAACTTTGCAGTTCAGGCTGGCTTTGAATTCACAGTAACCTTCCTGTCTCAGCCTCCCAAGTGCTAGGATCACAGGCAAGACCCACCAGGCCCAGCCAGTCACGGGTGCTTTGGACACTGGAAAGTTTGATAATTCTGCTGAGTCTTTGTCTCCAGGTGACAATGTATCCATCAGTCTAGGGATGTCCTTCTCTTTTCTTGTCATAGTAAAAACATCGCAAACACTTAAGATTGGCAACCGCAATGCAAGCCCCATCTGTGCTTTCTTCAGTCAGTTCTCCTTGGTCCACAAGAATAATAACCTTCACCGGGCAGCAGGTGGGGAGGGGTAGGAGAGACATCTTGCTTCATATTTTGTTTCTGGAATTTTATGACTAGCTGCTGTAGAAAGATGCACTAACTATCTCGAGCAGAGCCTAAAGATCTAGGACTGACAACTTCCTGCAATGAACCTAAGCTGCAACCAGGGAGCCAGCCAGGTGGCACAGCAGAGGAAATGCGCTCTGGGTAGACTTGTGTCCCCAGGCCTGGCTGTGCCGACACTTAATAAAGTCCCACGAGCCATGCACTAAATTCCTCCTCTTCCCTGTAATAGTCCAGATGGATTTGTCTTTGTGCTCCCCAGATTTTGATGCTAGAAACAGTGTGGATATCCTGGAAAGCAAACATTCTGCTTTTCCCTCTGAAATAAAAACTGAATGATAAAAATTTTCCAGCATGGGGTTCCAGTGGGCCCTGTCGGTCACCTAGTCCAGTAGCTTCCTTTACTAAATCCCACATTCCACCAGAAACAGGGGGTTTCCTCCGGCTTCCAGGAAGCATCAGAAGGAAGCAGCAGTGCTTTATTTCCATTCATGGCATTGTCCAGAATGTAGAACAGGGGAGCAGAGAGACGCTGGTTGGTAAATAGTGCACTTTCACAGCACAGCACAGAGCTCTCAGGTCCCAGTTCTGGATGATCCAGAGAGGCACTACAAGAACTAATGCAGTGCTTATTATGTGCCAGACATATCATTTTAGTAAAGACACCTGGAGCTGGCTATCTTGGCTTTGTCAGGATCCCAGGCAGCTGGGTGCACAAACACACCACCCTCTGGGAACTGGGCCCTCAAGTTAGGGGTGTACCAGGTTAGTGTAGCATGAGATATAGGTGCCAGGCTGACAAGACTGAGGGACACAGCACAGGACTCGTGAGGATGCAGGATGCGTGTGGCACCTGCAAGAGCTGAATGGTAGCCAGCGTGAGTGGAAGAGGAACACAAATGATCAAGGTGAAGTCTGCCCGACATCATGACTGTAGAATCATGTCACCTAATCACCCGCGGAGGGGGTGCCACCCAGCCCCAAACACTAGCTTCAGTCCTGCAGGAATCACTGCTTATGGCAGCACACACAGGCCTTCAAGGCAGGGACAGGTGCAGCTCCGGGGCCACAGACACCCACCGCCACTAAAGAAAGATATACTGAGGAGGCGAGACAGGGGACAGAAACTCAGTAAGGCCCAGGGACCACATCCCAGTGAGGCAGAAGAGGTCGTTGCTAAGGCAACCCCCTCCCAGGGGGCAGGGCTGCTCTGGAGGGATGAGACTGTGCTGGCGCCTCCTTTACATCTGGAAAATTTGGGCTACACTATACTTCAGGAAGATCACTCCCATTTAATCTGTACTCTCCAGCTACTGCGCATGCCTAATGCTTAAAAGTTCATATTACATATTGATATTGTGTTCTTTCTGAAATGTATCTAAATATATAAAGATATCACTAATCATGATCTTCTCATCTATTAAGAGTGCATCTGAAATTTTAAAAAAAGTTTAAATATTGCTCATAGAAAATGAAAGCCTCTTTATTATAGAAATGATTTTGACACCCCTCCTTCAACCACAGAAAATTCTAAAATCCCTAATTCTATGAAAACATTTAAATGTTAAACTTACAATGAAAAAGGCATTTTATATCAGAAACATAAATGCACACAACTGTAATAGAAAACAAAAAAGCTGCTTCTGTCAAGTATTCACAAAATCAGAATCCAAATTGAACTTAAAACCACAAACTACTGAGTTATTCTTAACTCACAAGCAAACTGTCAAGAGTTTTATCAAGGGGTTGGGGATTTAGCTCAGCGGCATAAGTGCCTGCCTTGCAAGCAGGCAGTCGTGAGTTCGATCCCTGGTACCGATAAAAACGAAAAAGACCAAAAAAAAAAGTTTTATCAAAAATTACATCAGAAAACTATTTCATGCAAACAAAGTGCCAGCAGAGAAACTCTGCCATTTCTTAATATAACTGTTTTGCTTCTGTAGGATCAGATGAATAGTCACTATGACGAAATCTAATTTTTTTTTTTTTTTGGTCTGTTCCTCCCCTTCTGTAGTCTCTGTAAATAATTCTACTTTAATTGCTGTCTCTAAAGGAGGATCAGGTGAAGCTAAGTTTAGGGGGCTAAAACAAGCTGGGCAAAGGGGTGGACAAAAACACACCTAGAATTCTGGTAAAGCAGTCCATTAGCGATCTGATACTAATGAAATGTAGTAGGTACCCTGCTTCCTGAAGCAGAAGAAAACCATCCCACCACGGCATACACCGTGACCCGCTGTAACTCAATCATTCTTGCTAGTGAAGAGTTGGCCTCCTTCACCTCTCATTCTTGCCATCCACTCAGAATCTGTAATTACAGTGCAGACAGTTCTGAGCAAATAACGGAAGACAACTGCCTTTTCACTTCAAAACACAGGAAGCAGTCATCGCTGTTAAGCTAGCCAGCTGTTCTTGTCTCCTGAACTGCTTCCCAGCCCCACACTTTAAGAGTAACCCGACCCTAAGTTCACCGCTGCTCTTTAACCCATCCTCATGATCAGTCACTACGGTGACCAATGCAAAGCATCGCTCAGAGCAGCTGTGCTCTCTGGAGTAGAGTAAGAAGCACCACAGACCAGGTCAGCGTGGGAAATTCCAAGCAAGGCCACCTGACCAGAGCAGCCTGAACAGTACCAGGACTGCTTTTCAGGCGCTTTTATACTATAAAAAGTTCAAATAAAAATTCTGAAACAGAGATTAGTAATTCTTCACAGTACATTTTCTAAATCCTTAGAAGCTGGCAGCGCATCTCAGTGCGTGTTCTTTTCACCATGGAGGACAGCAGCTGCACACGCACCAACTTCTGTCAGAGCAGACCGGACAATTCAGGTGCTCACTCATCCAGTGCTTTTATTTACCATGACACATACCGGTGAGTAGAACAGTGTTGGTCCCTCCTCTCAAAAAAGTAACAGAGGCTACAGATGACAAATACACAGTTGTTATATTAATTCGGGGGGGGGGGAGAGCACAGGGTACAATACAGTTTTGTCTGCTTGTTTTTTGAAAAGCCAACTAGAGGACAGGAAATGCACAATGAAGAGTAACACCAAGCCCAGATGAGGAGGAACCAGCCTTAAGAAGCCCATGCAGACAGTGAGGAGGCCAAAAGCCTTGAAGCAGGAAGCCAGGGGCCACCCCAGCAGCAAATGCAGCTCACGCAGCACCCCCAGAGCATGCAGCGAAGCCTGGTGGTCAGATGGCAGGCCACATGGCGTGGGGGATGTGAGCTCCATGAAGATGTCTCGACCATCTTCAGGATGAAATACACAGAATTATTACAGCAAGCTCAGCACTGCTGGGGGTCAGCATACTGCAGCAAGGCGCCGAGAGGAGATGGGGTGGCCAGCTGAGAAGCTGCCGCAACCATCAAGGAAGACTGGGCGGCTTCCCGGGCAAAGACAGAGTAGGACAGGAAGACTAGGCTCGCCACGGAGTGGAAGGCCAGTCTTGTCACTCAGAGAATGGACACTGGGCACGGAGGATGAGGACTCCTGGGTCTGACTTTAGAACCAGATAAGCAGAAGAACTAGTTTCCACAGAGCTACAGAAGAAGGGCAAAGCATAGCAAGGAGGAGGAGAGTACCGGGTGTTCATAATTTCCATGTGTGTGGAGTACTGGAGACTGGGGATGACCTCATGCTGGACATACAAACTAGGGAGAACACACACCGTGGAAACAGCTCACAGAGTGCAGGGACTTTGAAATGCAATGGGTGTGCAATTCAAACCTGCCCAATGAGATGGAGACACACCCGCCCTCCTAGGCTGAGCTAGTGAGGAAAGGCAGGGCCATAGGAGCCTGCTCCCGAGTATGTCCACGGATACCCCTGACACAACCAACCCTCAACCTACATTGTGAGGAATAACAATCTAGAGATAGATGAGAAGGCTAAGAAGCAAGGATCAGGAAATGTAAACGTCTAAACCTTAGGTAGTAAAGGAAGAAGGCCGGGCATGGTGATGCACGCCTGCAATCTCAGCTCTTGGGAGGCTGAAGCAGGAGGACTGCCGAAACTTCAAGGCCAGCTTGGGCTACAAAGTGAGCTCAAGGCCAGCCTAAACTACATAGTGAGACCGTCTCAAAAAGGAAAAAAAAAAAAAAAAAGGAGGACACAGAACAGGAAGAGAACGGGGGAGATTACACTGCCTGCCAGTATAAGTCCAGAATCCAAGTAGGAGGGGAACACTAACTTGCATCAAAAACCACTGAAAAAAAGAAAGGCGTAGAGAGGACGTGGCAGTGGCCGGACGCAGCGGTGGCTGTACCAATGAAAGTCAGTTGCTGACAGCGAGGGGCGGACACACTCCACAACACTGCACGCAGAGGACGGAAACGGGCACAGGTGTTAGGACACGTGGGCTCTGTAGGCTAAGGAAAAGGTCGGCCACTGTGGAAGGCTAAGGGACAGCAGGGATCTCGAACCCTTCTGGGCCCAGGCCTGTAATGTCGTACCAGAGTCACTTCCACTTTTATTACTTCACGCAATACAGCTACTCTAAACCCTTCATTTCAAACTTTATCCTTCTGTGACCACACGGACTTTTTTCCATAAGAACTATAAATGTCCCCCCAAAATACAGAGAGAATCAATTATTTCTTCTCTCCACAAAGTCATCACCACTTTATCCCCTAGCTCTTAATATTATTTACCCTTGCAAGATCCTCTATTTCAGAACTGAAGTTTGTTTCTCCTTCCATCATTTCTTCCTCTTCTAATGTTCGTTCATCATCAAAATCATGAACCAGCATGTCAGCTGATGGATCAAATTCATGGTCATCTGATGTTGCTGAACCTCCTGGTAAAGAATATTTTAAAAAGTTTGGTGAACCAAATTAAGTGTCTTATTAATACTTTTTTAGTGTATATGCATTACTTATCTGAAGCTGGATAAAAGTCAAAGCACAAGGAAAAAGCTATGTACACTAAGATTTCCGCTTTTAAAAGCCTTGTCCTTTCTTGTCCCCCACATGGCACAGCTCCTTGCACTGCCCTGCCTCAGCTTCACACACTCAGTCACACCACAACAGGGGGCAGGATGTGGCACTTGGTGACCTGAAAACTGTGTCATAACCTTCTAAACAGGAAGTGTGACGTGTAAATGGTCAGCCCAAGTAAGAACGGCCTTTCTGTTTGTGGAGGGGAAAGAAAAAAATCACAATTTGAACCATAGGATTACTAACAGGCTGTGGCCTGGAGGCCCTGGTCACCTGGAGGCCACCTGACTCCAGCCACGGCTGTCAGCAACAGGGTCGGTGCTCAGCCCTGTAGGCTGGTTATTTGGAAGGCGATAGCGCGGGAAGCAATGAAACTACACGTGGTCAAGTTAAAAGACAGGTGAACAGGACACTCTTTTATCAGCGCTTCCCTGGAAATGTATTCCAGCATTTGAGTGACTCAGCTGATTTTTGAACTGAAATAGCTCAGAGATAAAAGCAAAATTTATTCAATCTGCATACAAAACTTTCATCAGAGACATTTACAATAAGCCAGGGCCGGCTGGCTGGCCACAGAGCACTGCAGGATCTGACAGGTCGGGCCATCACGGCCCAGCAGCTAGGTGTGTGCCCTGGGCCTCCTTCTGGCCTCAGGGTGCAGTGCCACTCGGGGCTGCAGGAGCGCTGGACTGAGGGGTGAACGCGGGGCTTCACCTTGCGCCCCAGGGACCGTCTTGGAACACCCGGAACAGTGGGACATGGTGGAAAGTGTTCTCTTCAAATTCTTGCTCCTCCAATTCTTCTAAGTAACACCAAGAATTTCATTCAAAAAATCTCAATCTTTGCTATAAACGGGTTAACATGAAAAAATCAGCCATCTTTTTATCACCTGAAATGTTGATGGTTCTATCCAGTTATGTATGTATTTCATCCTGGTATAAAATCCGATGAGTGAAACATACACAGAGGCTGACTTCTGCTAGAGATGAGGCTCTTCAGCCCCTCCCATAACTTTGTAAATAAGCACCATTTTGTTTGTTTCTTAAGATGGGGCCTCACTATGTATTCTACACTGGCCTCAGCCTCCCGAGTACTGCTTTATGGCGTGGAGCACCAGACCTGGCATAAGCACCATGTTTAGCTTACCATGTGCCAGACATAAGTGTGTTCAGGCACTTCACATGCATCATCTCTACCTTCCAATCATCCTATCAAGTCAGCACTGTCCCACTAAAAAATGAGGAAAAATACCAAAGACTTGGGCCTTAGAGTTTACGGAGCACCTCTAAACTGGGTGCCAGGAGCGGCAAAGATGAACTGTGCCTGGCTTCACCTCCTGCTCCGTAAGGAGGCTCGGGAAGGAGCCCACGTTCGCGGACTCAGATGAGCCACTGTAAGCCGGGTGAGATGCAAGGGGGAAAAAGACACTGTGCTCATTGAAAAGTGTAAGAAACTGCTATTAAACACAGCAAACAATTCTCTGCCAAATCAGATCTCACACCACATTACAGTAAAAATGAGCTGCTGACATTTATTGAAGCTTTAAAATGGTTTACAAAGATGTTATTATTTCTCCTGGACATTAAGAAAAGGCTACCTAACTGTCATAGACCATTTCGGCTCTGGGTGGTGGCCCAGACACTAGGGTCCCCCTGGAAAGCCACTGTCTTAGCTACAGCTTCATGTTCTGTCTTCTTCTGAGTCTTGTATGGAAATTTTTCTCACGTTTCTCAGTGCTCCTGGCCATCATCGGAGATACTCAGTAGTAAGCACAGATGATTCTATGCTTCTCTCCTTCCTTGTAGGTGGAAAGGCTCCTCCAAAACCCCAGGCCACTGTTTGGGTCTACTATTACCTTGGACAGAATTCTTCCTGAAGGCAAGTTACCATCACGCAGGCTACGCTTAAGCCCTAACTACTTATTACCTCCCCACCAACTTACACCACTTCTCTTTCTTTTTCCTTTTTTAAGACAGGGTTTCATGAGGCAGTTCAGGCTGGCCTTGAATGCACTTTGCAGTCCAGGCTGGCCTCGAACTCATGGCAGTCCTCCTGCCTCAGCCTCCCAAGCACGCGCCACCATGCCTGGCTGCCCTATTTCTTTGGTAGTATCTGCAAAGCTGACGAAAACTTGCCATTTTACTTCTACATATCGAGTAACACAACACAGGAGAGCATCTCCTCCTCCAACTCCCTTCCCACCAATAGAACTATTCTACAAACTTTTAACTTCAATTATTCTGCTATAATCGACCTCTGTCTTATCTGACTTCTCACCGTGGTCTCTCGGACCAACCAACCATTCTGTTCCTTTCTGTCAACTGCTGGACCACCCCTAGGCTGCTTCTAAGGGAAAATTCTAGCAGTGCACTATCAGTAACTGTAAGCACAGTGCTTTGTGTAAGTGCCCTGCTTTACAGGGAAGCCAAGTGCCACAGATCTGCTAGGAGATCCCACCACATTGCACAATTGCTGCAAAGTTTTGTGGGTTTTTTTCCCTGTAGAAGAAATCTTATCCTTCATTTAGAACAGGGTCTCACAGGGTAGCTCAGTCTGGCGCTGAACTCACACCCAACCCTCTGCCTCAGCCTAACTGCTGGGATACACCACGCCCAGGACAGTTTGTATCTTTTCAAAGACTCAAAGACAGATTCAGTTTACAATATATTCACATGTACTTATTTAATCATTTAAATTTTTTTCTTCCTCTGCCTTAATTCCCACTTCTAATGATGATCGGTCTTATAGCTGAAAACTTACACTGGTCCTCCTCTCTGGTTTATACTGGTAAAATCTATAAACAAACCACTGACTGTGATCACATAAGCACAATTACTAACACCGATTCCCAACCCCAGATGCTAAAAAAGGCCGTTTTTTTTTTTAACCAGCAGATCAAAAATCTTTTTTGCAAGAGGCCTGTACTCATGGTCTTCTCCACCAACTTTCGTAACTCCCCTAAAACTATTATTACCTAAAAGAACATTAAACATTCCTTTGGGCTGAAGCCAGAGGCTACAAATACTGTGAAATGCATAAGATTTTCCTCAGCTGGAAAACAACCTAACAGAAACATAAACAATATGAACCTTAACACCTACATATCAACAAGCAGCAAAAGCTACTAGAAACATCTCTGTCCTTTCTGCTCTGCTCCTCCCCCAGCTCTGCACAGGTGGACACAAACTGTGGAAGTCATCTACAACTATCAGACCTGACACAAGTATTTCATTTTATCTGGGTGTCTGCTCTTCCAAACTCATAGGCGCACCTAAAACTCACTCCACTTGCAATGTCACTATAAATACAAGAACCTGCTTTTTCAATGTGTTTTGAAAAAAAAAAAAAAAAATACGGGAAACAATGATACAGTGATACAACACTTAGCTCCGGTCAGGTTACATGCAATGTTAACCATCCAGAACATACTTACAAAAGTTAAAAACTCCTTGAGTGTCACAAATGTCACAAAACTTAATGTACTTTAATCATAATGCATATAAGAAAAAGACATTTTTAGATGAAATAGAGAAATCAAATGTAAACTGAGTGTTCTGGTTATTTAAGAGTGTTCTGGAAGTAATCTAATCCTCAGAGAGTGGGATTACTTGCACTCACACAAAGGACCTTGGATCATTAAAAAGGGCTCATATTGTGTTGAACATTATGAAAAGCATTCTTCCTATAATTTAAAACACAGAAATGCGGCTGCTTCCAAACATGAAAATACAGCAGTGTGGAATGTGTCACAGCTAAGCACCCAGCACATGTGTGTACGGGGCCAAGCCTCAGAGCGCCTGTCCATGCTCCCCGCACTGGCCTGGGCTGGCTCTGCCTACACGGTGATCTAAATCAGCATGAGAGATGGAGGGCATGCTCCACGGTGGGGCCAGGCCCTGGGACTGAGCATGAACTCTCCATCTAGATTTTATGTGGAATATGTAAATTTTAAAAGATTATAGTGGTCCTCCAAAACATAGGCGATCCAAATTGGTCCAAGGATCAAAAATTTGTAACTACTAAGACAGGAATAGAAAAACCTACTGTATATGAATGAGAATATTAAAAACCTTAAGATGTATGGTCAAAGGATAAAACTTGATACTACTAAAATCTGAGAATAATATAATTAATTCATAACACTGAACATTTACCTGTTGAACCTTTTGCATACTCAACTGTTCCCTCCTGCAGTAAATACACTAACAATTTTTTCCTCAAATAAAAAATTTTAATTTCCTACACAAGTATTTTTAATCAGATTCCTTTTTCAAAAAGATACTTCATATATACTTCAACTCAAATAACAATGTAAAACTACAAGGTATACATAAGGCAACTTAAGAGAAAGAGAAGGACAAAGAGAAGGAGAACAGACCAAAAATAGGCATGAGGGTGAACTCACAGCCGCCTCACCTGTACTTTCAAGGGTAGTGAAATATGTCATCCATTTCTTTCTCCCCAGAGAAAAGAAGCATTCAGAAGAAAAGCAAGTCAGATGACATTCTATCTCCTCTAGCCTTTATGCAATTACAGGGCAAATATTAGAGATTATTAAAAATGGAGGAAAAATACTTACCTGGACTTGAAGATTCAACAGATGGCTAAGGGGAAGAAAAGAAGACAAATTAGCGTTTTTGCACACTGTAACTCCACATGTGTCAGAGAAAGCACTCCATGACTATTGTGCCTCCAGTAACTACTACTGTCTATGACCAGTTAAACCCCCACCGACAAACGCTTCCCTCCCACTCCACTTACACAGAGAGAAACCCACCAGTCCCAAATCTATAAACAGAGACAGTGACATGCAATGCACTTGTTTTTGAAAGCAAACATGGGCTGCATGACACACATGGATTAAGATACGCTTTTAGGCCTCGGAATTTCCTGAAATAGTTTTTCACCTATTGATACAAACGCACACACACACACATGAACACAAAACTACACACTAAGTTTGCTATCAGTGTGGCCTATGGCTTTAAAAATGAGTTGTGAAAAGGGAGACAGGAACAATTTAAAGATATAATTTTAAAGAAAAATTATGTTCTAAGTAAGCAAAGGAAAAACTAAAATGTCATCTAAGTACCGAACACTGTAAGAGGCCAACTTTACCAACACAAAACCTCGCTTTCAGGTAATTATGCTAGGGAACCTGGGAAGGAGGAGTCCGCAGACCCCCAGGCCCGGGCTTCCTTCCCACACGGGGCCCCTCGCCAGCTCGCCCACGGGCAAATAGAAACGCTGAGGAACACTTAAGCCACGTTACCACCTGACAGAACATGGCTGTATGTATGTTAATTTACAATTATAAACAAGTCATCTATCAACATCAATTCCTCCACTAGACAAAGACAGTTAACACCAAAGATCCATAGCTGATGGGAACTGTGAGAGTCAAACCTGGCTGACTCCTGGGGAGCTACTATCTCATGGACGGGGGGACAGATGGAGGAAGTGCTAGAGCCCGGCCCGGGGCCAGGCTATGGGCAGTGGGCAGCAGCCTTCCTTCCAGTGGCAAGGGGGCGGGCAGGTGAGGATGAAGCAGCAGAGGGGAGGGAGAGTGAGGGCCGAGACAAACCCTTTCAAGGTGCTCAGGTTCATCTGAAAACGCCAACAGTACACTGGGCCGACAGTACACTAGGCCGCAGGGTGGCAGGCAGGTTACCAGGGTGAGGGTCTCCTGAGGCGCACACTCCCCAGAAGTGCCACTGCTCCTTCGAACACTTGTGAGAGTGGCTTTCCCTACAGCAACAGCCCACCATGGCCCCCCAACAGGTACTGTGCTGGACACTGCGATCGGGTGCCACTTCCACTGGTTCTCTAAGGGGAAGCAGGGCAGTAAGGAGGCAGGGGGAGAGCATGGTGACCCTAAAAAGGGATTTCTAGCTTAGCATCAGCTCAGCCACACATTTCCGACTCAAAATACTTAACTAGTACACAAGTTACTACACAACAAATCAACACTCTCTACCATGAACCCATCCATGGCTCCCAAGTTCATTTGCCAGCCTGGTCCCCAGCTGTTCACCCAAGGGGTCCTCTTGGCGCGGGTCTCAGCAGCAGCTTCCTGAACACACTCAGGTGCAGTACACACCAAGAGCCAGTGCTCTCATGAAGGAGGTGCTCGGCAGCTCCTGGGCATTTAGTTCTTTTTGATCACCCCAGTAATTCTGACTGAAAGCAACTTTGCTGAAAGTAAAAAGGTGTGCTGGTTTTACCGATAGTAGGTCCTAGAGCAGACACTGCATTGTAAATGGCAGCTCCTACACGTCAGTGTATACATGACAATAAATACCATGCGGACCAATGCTTTTCTGATCTATGGTACCACTTTACAGCTGTGGAAGGTTCCAGACACTTTCCACCAATATACCAAATGCTGAGAGGCCTGGAAGCATTTGTAAATACAACTTGCACAGGGCACACCCACTGTTTCAAGGCCATAATGACTGTGCCACACTGGACACGCTGGGGTGGCCCAAGGGCCTGATGTAACACAGCCCCAGGAGAGGAAATAGATGGGTTTGCCTATGGACACACCTGTGTCTGGGTACATTTTAGTACTTTATATCCAAAATAAAATTCTACTGTATCAATTTAGCAGGGAGGAGATTAGTTCCAAGTTAATTATATCCAATTAAATCAAAGATGAGCTTCTGAAAATTGGCATTTCAACAGTTCATACCAAGAACCTGTGAACATTATTTTGTTTAACTGACAAAATAATTATCTTTTAAGATACAAAGTGAGTTCTGTTTTATAATATAAGAGGTTTCAGTACAGGATGAGGGCAACGTTTGTTCAGAAGTGAAAGAGAAACAGAAAGCGCTTACACTGATGTAATTTTCCAGGGCCGGCTGTAGAACCCTAAGCAAACCCCACTATCTCAGAGCTGGGATTAGCACAGCCCAGGACGCAGGAGCAGGAGCAGGTGAGGCATTCCACCTCGGTGGGGATGAAGGTGCACCTGAGCTGCAGTCCGACTTCCCAGGGCTCCTCTTCTGCCTTTCTACAGAATAGTCACTAAGGTTTCCCCTGCCCTTCACCTCTGTCTTTGTTACTTTCTCTTTCCTTCTAGACGGGTTTTATCAGCTCAAAGCACGTTTAATACACAAACACACTGACTATGTCATGCCAGACTTTTAATTGTGTCTCTTTAGGGTCTGGTATCTCCACTCATAATACCTCCAGGAGAAACTCCAACATCTACTATTAATCACCATAGTCCGCTAGAAAAGCAAAACCCAAGGTAAACATTTATACAAAAGCTACTTTTAGAAAATGCTCAGACCATGAGAGTAGACAGCAAAAATTTTAAATTGGGGGTTAAAATGCATGTAAAAGCCCTGTGCGTCACTGGTAGAAACGCTGTTTCAGCCCTTCTGCAGAGATCACTCTGCCAGCACGCGATGAGCCCCACTTCGAGACCTAGAAAGTACACTCATCTCTCTGGCCCAATTCATTATCACAGTGCTGTCCGTGGGTGGGTGTGCTTGAAAATCCATCACATAGCCCTCTAGAAATGATACGGCTCTTCCAAACAATGGAGCAGTATGAACCCATTAATACGAGAACTGTTTGTCTTAAAGAAGAAATAAAATGTGTAAAATAAAAAATACTTCAAGATAATGCATAAGACTGAGCTGGAACATGCATCACAATTTTTTTTCTTCAAAAGAGACATGTAAGCATCTGTCACTAGTTACCTCAGGACGTCTCAGGGATAGGAGGTCTACATCTGCTATTTCCTGTACTGCTGGAATTTTCTAGCCCCTTTCATGAATTACTTTTTTTTTTTATTTTAAAGAAACAGGATTTCTTGTGAAATTATAAGCCATTTTTTCTTTCTTTCCTTTTTAATTTTGAAAACCTAGTACTTGATACAATTTTTTAAATTCTAATTTTGAAGATTCCAATTTTCTTTTTGGTATGTATTTTTATTTGAGGTGGAAACTAATGCTAGGCAGAAAGACAGATCTATACCCAAAGTAGGCTAAATGAAATTTTAAAAAAAACTACTGGCTTTTATAGCTTCCCACTCTCACCAACATATTTACATGATTTACTTGATAAAACTGGTAACAGTTATAACAAATAATACCTCAGATGTGTTCAAATGTTTCTTTTATGCTTTTCTAGAATATGATGGGAAATAGTGGGAAGCCTCCCACAAAACAGCAAACTGTAATTTGGGACAAGATAAAAGACTAACTCAAAGAAAAAAAACCAACCAACCAACCAACTACCAGAGTATTACCATTCTTTCTATTTTAAAAATTAATGTAATAAAAACAAAGTATAAATTAGATTTTTTTTATCCCAGGCAATCAAAAGCTTAATTTCAATGCAAATAAACTGAACAATTTTCCCTCAAACTAGTTCCATCACATGTTCAGTGTTTTGAGGACAGTTCGGCTTTTCACAGCACTAAAGATACTACACAGAGGTGCGACCCCAAAGGCACGAGGGACCCACTTTGGGCTGCAATTTCGGGTGCTGACTGCCCAGGACCTTCCGTTCCCATCCCTTTCCCCTGATTGTCAAGAGCCTAAGTCATAAAAAGGCTCAGGGTGCGCTGGACTAAAATCGGCAAATTTCCTACAGTAGTGATGACCCGGAGGGCAGCAGGGTACCATGGAGAAAAGCATCATGAGCTCGGAGCCTGGCTCGCACTCCTCACTGTGCCAAGACTGCTGAGGAGCCAGGCCCAGCTTCCCCAGCACCTCTGTTTCATTTCCTCTACGATGAAGAGATGTGTTTTCCTCAAGTTTAGTTCAACTTCACTTTAATTAGGAATTGCTCAAAACATGGACCACCACTAAGGAGTACTCAGCTAAGTGGGTAAGACGTGCAAACAGTTTCTTCCAAACTTAATTTTAAATCTAGAACTAAAAGAAAAAGACAATCTCAATTTGTGAAAACTATTTTAGAGTGTTACTTTAAAATTTTCCCATTTATAAGCATACTAAAACAATCACAGCTCTAGGCTTTAAAATAAGCTCTTAATAAGCAATGAACAGTTTAACTACTACAATGACTTTTAAATCCATTTGCATAAAGATTCAATATGGACGTTAAACAAGAAATTTCTGTATGGCTGTTTGCTTTTCATAATGACATAAAGCTTCAGTGGCAGTGATGATTTCTGAAATACTTGGAAAACTGATTAGTTTCATGTAATAGAATTATCTTTAAGTAATTCACTTATGTCTCCCATCCATTTTTTCCCCCCCTGTACCGGGGATCGAACTCACAGCCTTGGGCTTTCCAGGGAGGTGCTCACCCCATTGAGCTAAATCCCTGGCCTCCCACTCATTCTTTGCTAAGTCACCAAGTGCTTCAGTGCTCTCTTTTTCTGGGGTGGGGGGTGCGGGGGAAGTACTGGAGCCTGAACCCAGGCTTTTACACTAGGTCATACCCCACCCTCTTTTCTAACTTTATTTGGAGACAGGGAGACAGGGTTCCCTAAATTGCACAGGCTGTGCCTGAACTTAGAACAGACCCTCCTGCTTAGCCTGAACTTAGGACAGACCCTCCTGGGTGTCCCTGAAAGGACACCCAGCTAGATACTTCAGTTCTTACTCCCAAGAAACTTAAACTTTTTAGTACCACCATGCCCTGGAATTCCTGCCCACTCTTCTGCACCAGACCTTAGAGGCTGTGAAGTACAAATACTAAAAGAAGGAAAATTACTTAGAAGTTTAACTTCACTGCACTGAAACAAGTTTTTAGTGTACAAATTAATACTTTTAAAAGAAACAATTAATATGAGTCTATTATCTAAAAGACAAAATACAACTATATTCAGAAATGTTAAGAAAGGAATTTGTTTTTAAGAGAAAGAAGGGTCAGAGGCGATAATGAGTAGTTTGTATTTAGTTATGGAAATGGAAAATACTTAACCCTAATTAGACAAATCCACTCTTTTCTTTTTTTTCTCTACAGAAATGTAGTTTAGATGAAAAGAGAGGTCCTGCACCCCACTGTGGCTTCTTCTCCCTGAGAAACGCAGCCCCTTTTCCCTGAGAAATGTGTGTTTACAAACTGAAACACACAGCCAATTGCTCATTCCCACAGGTCTTCACATTTTTGTAACACCCAAAGGATCACCTATTGCTTCCTATTTCCCCCCTCATTGCCTTTGTAAAACTCTGAACTACACTGTAACTTTCTCCCCTTATATGTGAGCAGCACAACCTCCTTGTGGTAAAAAATTTTAAGGGCTAAGCAATGAGTAATATTACCAAAAGCATTCAGAAAGTGAACCCACACAATTTCTTCTAAGCACACTAAATGTTTTTAATGTTATTACAACGAAAGAACATTTAAATATATACTTCTATTACAGATTCAACAAGATCATCAGATCAAATATAAAAAATGAGTATTCTATTCATATTGAAAACAATTTCAAGAATTTAAGTATTTTTCTAGGAAAACAAATCAGGATCATTCTCTCATATAAGAAACAACAATATGGAAAAAATAAATAAAAAACCCCAAAACAAAGTAGCTACAATTTTCTCTAGAGACAAACTTCTTCAATAAGCCCTCAAATTTTTCAAATAAATGTTTTCTATTGCTTCACATTTACTATTACGTCGTAAGTCCGCTTCAACTTTTAGGTCTGCTTGATCAAAAGCAAAATGTTCGGCATATAAGTAATTTTATCACAAGCATCTTGAACTAAAAGCATTTCATAATCAAGTGTTTCTCTCATGAAATTTTTAACACAGTGGTCCTAAAAATCATTCCAACCACTAAACTAGAGAGTTTAAGAAAACTACAGATTTAATTTTACTTTTCATCTCCTCTAAGTTTTTTTGTAGGACACATCATGAAGGTTCCTCCACCCTTCCTCTGAAGTCACTGTAAACAAAACCATCTACAAGGAACTGAAAATTATAAAAAATGATTTAAAGAGAACAATCATTAAACAAACGCAATGAACACAAAATTCAGGTGTTTCTTCTGCTTGAAAATGAGCCGTTTATATGTTCCTGCAACATGAATTCCATTCTCCAAATGAAGTATTTAAGAAAATATTTTTTCTGGAGTAGACCAGCTCTCTATGCTTTATTTATGCTAAAAATTATGAAAGAACTAGTGAAAAAAAGTTTTCCTTTTTTACAGCAATGCAACCATCTTTAATTTCAAAAAGAAAAATATCAACTTAATAAACTTCTAGATGAATGTCAATGAATTTCATATACAAAGCTATTTTCTTCCATACCATCTTGCCTTGAAGTATGGCAAAATAACTTAAGGCTCAAACTATGGTAGCATCACGAGAGAAGAAACACATTATCTCTGTAGCACACTGCTTCTTATCTAACACATATTTAGTGAAAGAGGTTCTGATATAACTGGAGTAAATAGTTCCATCCTACCACTCCTGTCCCTTAGGAATACAGGAAACTAATACAAGACTGGGAATCTCACAAGTACTGACTTTCCATATTCTGGTTTAAACCCAGTCATGTAAGGGAAATAGTACTGTGTTCTAGACTGGAGTGTCTCGACATACAATTCTCTTGACATACAATTCTCTAATCATAAAGAGCAAAAGAAAATAAAACTCAGCTCTAAATTTAGTGTTAAGCAGAAATACTAAATGTTTTTAAAAGAACAGTGGCAGCAAACCAATGCTGCTACAGTAAATCGTCTCCTCCTGTAAAAGCAAAAACTCAAGGACACAAATACGACGCTCGTTTCTGTAGCAGAAGCAGAAGTAACATCTCGAGAGCTGCTCTACTCCGGAAACCAACCTCCAGGCCCCTCCACACAACAGGTCCACGAAAGGCCTCGTAATCCAGCCGCTTTCTGCGCTCCAAGGTTTATTAAGGAGGACCTCAAGGTGCTGGCAAAAGGACTCAGCATCGACTTCCCGTAGCAAATAAAGGGCACCAGGAGGGCTGGAGGATAAACGCAATTATCTACTTTCTGACTGCGAGCCTCAAAAATGGCAACTCAGGGGCCATCGATGCCATGGCACCTCTCAAAGCGGACAGAAAGTCCAAAAACAGCGCCGAGAGCTCCGGAAGGAAGAAATCACAAAATTCTCTAACAGGCCGGGCGAGGGGGTAAACAAACAACTGGCCGAACACTTCCCACGCTGAAGAGCTTACGTGAGAGGCCACATCAAAGTTCCGACAGCCCATGTTAAGTTTCAACTAATTACACAGCGGCCGCGGCCGTCGGGCCCGAGCTGGGGATCAAACGCGGAAAGCGGCCGAGCGGGGACCGAAGGGGCTGCGGGGACGCGTTCACCGGAAAATGCGCAGAGCTGGGAAAGACCTCCCGGCGAAGACAAGAAGGAAAATAAGAGGTAGCTCTGATTTGCAAAGAGGATGGAATTTCTGGGCAGGAAGAGAGTTCGAAGTGGGAAGGTAACTCGGAGGCGCGGAGTAGGCGGCGGGGGTGCCGGAAAGCGGGGACCCCGGGTGCGGGGCCGAGGCCCGGCCTGGCCCTGTCTGCCCACCCGCACCCGGCCAGGGCCAAACTTGCGGCGCCGCCCGCGCCCGGGCGGAAGTGGCGCCGCCGGGCCCCCTCCCCGCGGACCCTTGTCCCGCTGCGTCTCCACCCCCCCGGCCTCTGGCCCCCGGCCCAACTAAGTTCCGCGGCCCCCGCCCACCGCACGGCCTGCTCGGGACAACAGGTGGGCGGCGGCGCCAAGGCGGCCTCGACAGGCCCGGCCCGGCACGCTCCCGGCCGCGGCTCCGAGCCCCAGCTCAAGCGGGCGGGAGCGCGCACCCTTACCTCCGCCATGTTCGCCGTCCTGCCGGGTCACATCTCCGCGCCGGCCGCGGCTGGGTCACGGCCGGAACCCGGATGTGAGACGGCAACGGGACACGGCCGCTACCGCTTCGCCGCCGCCTTGGCGAGCACGCGCAGGAGCCGCGCGCGCGCGCCGACCACGCCCCGCCCCCTCGCGGGGCCCTGCGGGAGGGACCAGGCGGGCGGGCGCGCGGAGGGCGGGGCCGCAGTGAACGCGCGCGGGCGGGAGAGCGCCAGGACCAAGCCTCCCGGACTGGCGCGGCCCGCCAGCGCCGGGACCCGAAGGACAGTGCAAGGCGGGACGAATTGCCTGCCATCTCGGCCTCTCCTCTGCCTCCCGCTTCTGAAATGCCCGCAGCAACGCACTTGGGCAACAGATTAATGTTTGCACAACTGGACAAGATTTTTTAAATGCAAAACACCGACGAGCACCTGCCCCTCGGAGGGGGCGGGGAACCAGCGGCGTTGCAGCGCGAGGTGCCCGGTATGCGGCCCGCGGCTGCGCGATCGCCAGCCCTAGTCTTCCCGGGCCAAGGCGCGCTGGTTGGTGAAAGGCGCTAGGTAACCAAGCGCTAACCTAATTTACTATACAGGATTAAGAAATCTGATTTAAAGACCTTTTTTTTGTTCAAATCTTAAAAGGATTCTTCTGCATCTGGTTTCAAACATGACTACCCAAATCAAACAGTTAAATGAGAATTACACATTCCCATGAAATAATGTGACACTAGTGCTACAAGATATTGCATACATGGATATATATATATATATATATACATATATATAAAATATTCTTTTCAATTCATGCTTAGAATATAATATGGAGGGCACTACTTTCTTAAATTATTTGTATGCCCTTAAAACTCAAAGGCTATCAAACATTTTCCTGTTTCCAAAGATTCAACATAAACCTGAAACTTCTACGTCCACTTATAGTTTGTGCGTGAATAAGCCGCATTTATAGATACAGGAAGTAGCCACTAAGTGAAAGGACATTACCTGGTAAATTGACAGGAAAAGAGTCCACAGACAGTCTGTAAACCAATTAAACATAAACATCTGATGCACATTTTCTACTGAAAGAAAAGCAAGGGAAAGAAGAGAAAGGAAAACTTTAAGGTTCCCAAGTCTGCAAACAAATTGTACCATTAACTAACTGTACTGTACAGTATTTTCATTTTATTTTATAGAAAATATAAAGTGTTTATTTTTTCAGGATTCCTAGAGTAAATAAAATATTTAGCATAGGTATACAGTTTCTAGAAGGTACCTTGTTAATACTTTGGACTTAAAACAAAACGACTTTTTAAAAAAATACCAGTTCATATCCAAATAGTTGGATGCACTCGAAGAACAAAGGATACGCATATATCTGCAGTGGACACAGAGCAAAGCCACGAAGGCTTTGGGTTTGATACCCTGGAGACCAGGAGGACATTATACTAAACTATTAAAGATAATGTATGAAACTTAGCTGGCTGGAAGACTGAAAGTTGTTAAAGTACAGGGTACAATGACAACTTGGTTGCTTTTAATACATGGAATTTTTGATTCTTCAGTTAAATGACCAACTGTGATAAAAAGCAGGGGCTCAAGGTTCCTTAAGCAACTGGATATACCCTGAAAGTTAGGAAAACTGAGTCCCAGACATCTCTGAATGAACATTCTTCTGTTAAGTGCCATCAAAGTTGATTAAAACTGTCTGGCAATGATAGGGGAAAACACTTCCTCTACATTGTACCTCCCTTTATAAATTCGGGCTCCGTTTTTGGGGTTAGACATCATTCTATGGTAAAGAGAAACAGCTTGAATACTGTAAGTCATAGGTAATACATTACTACTGAACTCAGTATACTTCGATCTCATTGTAGCCTAGTGAGCAACTACTTATGTTTAAAAAAAATTCAGAGGCCACCTTAAGGAAAGCAGTCTTTTTCAACTCCTGCTTCTTCAGAATCAACTGTGTAAGAAATAAGTATTCACTGGTCATAGAGTCTTAGTGTTGGGCAGGTGCTTGAAAGACCTTAGTCAATTCTCCACTCCACCCAGATAGGAGTCCTTCATTAATATTTCTACTCCTGGGCTTTCTGCACATTCCACACCTCAGGAACTCACTGTACCTCAGAGACTGCGCTCTTAAAAAAAAAAAAAAAACAAAACCTCTCTCAATTCTTCTGTTTATTCAACCATAATCTGCTCCCTGTTACTTTCATCCATTATTCCTAGTTCTTCAGCACTTTGGATTAATTCAACAGGTATCCTCTTTGTATTCAAAGGCAAAGTCAAGAATTTGGGTTAAAAAAACCTAGTGATATGAGAAGAGCTGAAAACAGGACATGATAGAGCTGAAGACATGAGAAAATTTACCCTTAATTATGACCTTTCAAAACTGGGACACTTTTTAGTATGTTCTAACCACAAGGATGTCCAAAATGGTAAATGTTAGAATTGTGGCGTAAAATGCTTAAAGTGTGGTTAATTCCAATTTTATGTGTGTATTGGTTTATGTTCCAAAACAAAAATATCACTACAAGATCTAAATAAATGTCTCCTTAGATATTATTCCCCCACCAATGGCCTCCTTATTTTTAGCAAACACTAATTTTTACCACATTAAGCTCCTCACAACTTGTATTACATTGGGAAAATTATTTTTAAGCCATTTATTGACTCCTAGATTCAAAAGTTACTAAGCAATATTTCAGCCACTAGAAGGTATTCACAAGCATATGCATACTCTACACACATAACCTTCAGAAGTATTATTTTTCTGTTAAAAGATGCATTTAGGGTTACAATTTTAACTCAACAAGTACCTTTTTAAGCTTCTTTTACATTTACATATACCTAAGAAATATAACCCTTTATTTGGTACCACCTGATTGAAATACATGTATACTGAGAAACATGTTTATGCAATCAAAAAGGTGCCTCTCAAAATGCAACAATTAAATCTTTAATTTCTACTGTGAGGCTGCTTGCCTGAAATAGATGAATACAATATATCCAAAACAGTAAAATGCAAATTGTGTATCGAATAATTTCCAGGACCCAGAAGTCCCTTTTGAGATTGTTTTGTGAACCATTTACTAACTTTTTTCTGTAAAAGTGACAGCCTGCATCACTTGTTCATGACTGGAGAATAAAAATCAATGGCTAACTACAAATTTGCCATGAAACGTCTAAATACAAAAGCTATGTTTTCTTAAATGACATTTAAGATAAACTGAGTCAACGTTTAGTAAACAGAAAGCAAGCTGCAAAAGCAGAATTGCATTATTTCTGGAAGCCCCACATTCATGCAACAATAACCATCATCTTTTTGTTAGTCTTTTATTATTAGAACCACTCTAAAATACTTTTTTAGCTTTCTGGTTCTTCAAAGAGTAATCCCCCCCCCCCCGATTTCTAGTTTTATCAAGTGGCCCAATTTTAGCAGTCCGTTACAAACTACTATGTTTGCAGTTCTTACACTGCTGTTATTTTTCTCTCACCCCGGCTCTGAGCAGTTCCCAGACACAGGACAGCCACACATTCCTTGAGGGAGTCTGCATTTCCCCTCCCTTCATTGCCAAGGGCGCCCCTGCCTACCAGCATCACATCCGTCTTGTTTGCATTGAACCTCAACCAGTTGGTTCTTAACCACGTCCGAAACTCAGCCAGGCACTGGGAGAATCGAGCCACCACACCATCTGGATTAAAGGAAAGAAAGCCTCAGTAGCGACGAGACAGAACCCACGCTAGCTCAAGCTCACCATATACCCTGTTTCGCATTTTTCAAAGGATGGCTGGGGAACTGGGTCAAGGATCCCGTGACAATGTCAAGTCAACATGAATAAACTTGGAGTCATGCAGTTTGCAACCACTGGTAAAGAAAGAAAATTAGGTCGCCGTATTTCACCCATCTTTCAAGCAGGTTCAGTCAACTCGGGGTCATCTATCACAGCTAACCGGCCTCAGTAGGCCAATTTTATAATTGCATAACGGTTTCTGAAAAAATCAGTTTTAGCAGTGGAGGAAGCTTTTAAAGGGAAACCTGCAGCTCAGAGAGGGGCAGCGACTCGTCCAAGGTCACACAGCAGGCGGGGATCAGCGCCGGGCTCCAGGCCAGGGACCGCTCCACTACCAGCTCAGAGAACTCGGCCACTCTAGGGCGCGCGGGCCAGACGGGAAGGCCTGTTCCCGGTCAGCGGCCCTCTCGATAGCTCTTCCCTCCTGTGCTCCACTGCAAAGGACGGGCAGGTCCAGGATCCCGCAGTGCAGGCGGGAGCCTCCCGGCCGGGACCGGCGCGGAGAAAAGAGGTGGAGCCACGGGGGAGTGGCTACTTAACCCCACCCCTATGGGATAGAGGGCTGACCGAGAAGGGGGCAGAAGCGAACGGCGCGTGGCGAACTCACTCCGCAGCGGATTCCCAGCGAGCCGCGGACGCCGGGAAGCCCCGCGCCGCTGCTGCTTCCACCGCCGCCGCAGCAGCCACCGCCGCCGCCGCCACCGCGAAGGGAGAACGACGGCGGCCGGGAGGTGTCGGGCGGCACAGGCGCTGCGCATGCGCCCCGGGCCCCCCCCCCGCGCGTCCCGAAGAAGCCCCGCCCCGGAAGTGCAGAGTCTTCCGGGCGGCGTTCCGCGGTGGGGGAGGGGACGCCGCCCAAGGGGCTGAGAACGACTCTGGGCGCCCCACACCCGCGCGGGAGGAGGAGGGGAGAAAGGCCGGGGCCGCCCCCACTTACAGCCGCTGCCGCTGCGCCCTCCGCCGCCCGCGCTGCTGCCACCACCGCCTGAAGACGCCCCATCCATCCGCCTGCAGCCGGAGACTTGCCGCCTGGGAGGGGCCTGGGCCCGGCCGCCCGCCTCCGCCTCCACCTCCTCCTCCTCCGAGGCGGCGTCCGGAGCTTCTTCCCCTCCGCCAACCCTCTGCCCTCCCCTCCGCCTCCGCCCTCCCCTCGGCCCCCGCAGCCAGCCAACCGCGCGGCCGCTTGTTGCCCGAGCCGCCGTCGCCATGGCGCCCGCCACGCACTAGCGCCAGGCCAGCGGAGCGGGCGGTTGGGTGCCGGGGGCGCAGCCTGGGACTGTGGCCGGTGGCCCGCAGCTCCCCAGGCGGCCGCAACAATGCCCACCTCTCCGAGCGGCAGCCGCAAGTCAGTGAGCCACTTGTAAGTTCCGGCATTGGGGCCCGGGCTGGTTTGCGGGGTCCCGCAGGAGCCCCCAGGTCCTGACCCTGACCGGGACAGGAGGGTGACCCGACGGTATCGGGATGCGCTCTATTGCTCCCGGGCGCTGTGTTACCGCCGGGTCTGCTCCCCAGAGAGCTGTTTCGTTTAGGGTCTCGCTTCTAGCGTTGCAGGTTTTTGCTTCAGTGTTTGTTTTTCCAGTTTGCAGCTGCCTCCCTCTGTGTCCTGATGCTCCGGCACCTCCACTGGGTGCCAGCAGACCTATCGTTCCAGTGCTTGGTTCTGCAGGATTTTTGTTCCATCCCCATGTCCTCCTCTCCTGTTTGCAGCGTTCGGCGGTGCAGACCAGAGAACTCTTGTCTCACTACTTGAAATGAGCCCCATTAAAAGACTCCACAATTCCACATCAGTTTGGTCCTCTCTTCTCCAAGCTCCTCCAGCTCACTTCATCTTTTTTTAGCGGAACTTGTTGGAAGTCCTCAGGCGAGAACCTGGTGTTCACCCTTTGAATATGACAACCGAGGCTCTCCTCCAATCTACTGTTTCGCCAGTGAAGCTTTTTTGAAAGTCATTCAGAGACCTCTGGCTAAATGTGATAATTTACATTTCTCAACTGGCCCAGGAGCAGCTTTCATCTCTATGATCCCTTCTTAAATTTTGAAATCCGTAGGGCCTTTGTGGGACACCACCCTTCCCTACAGCTTTTAAAAGTACTTCACTGGTACATACTCATCTCTCCTGTAATAAGTATTCCCGAGTTGGTGGCCTCATTCCTTAAACTCGTTCTTTTTGCTGGTTGCTTATCCCTTTGAAAACCGTTTATGCTGGTGGCTCATAAGTTTTTAACTCTAGCTGAGACCTCTCCAAGGAAATAGACTTTTAAAGAGAAATCTGCACATGGAAGTTAATAGAGATCTTGAAATTTACATCCAAAAGGAAGGTAACTCCCCGTTTTCAAGTTTAGTCTTTACTATTTCAGTAAATGGCACATTTTACTCTTCAGTTACTCAGGAGAGAAAACCAAAACCCTGCAATCACCCTTCACTCTCTCATGTGCTGCACAATCAGTGCTTCCTACATACATAGTAAAACCAGACTAGTCAGCTCATGGCTAAGTCACTGCTGCATTGTGTTAGAGGCCTGAATAGTTGCTAACACACCACTCCCCCCGCCCCCATACCAATTCAAGGATTTTCTGCTCCAAACTGCTGAGATTTTTCTTGTTTCTGCAGAGTAAGTGCTCACATTCTTACAGGGCTCCACAGGGTGTGGCTTTGAGCTCTTCACCGTGGGAAGATGGGTTCCACAGCACATTGTGTACATGACACTCCAATTTCTGTGCCTGTGCATGTGCTGTTTTTTTGGAACATAGTGCCTTTAAATCATCTTGTGACTCATTTCTTCCAGATGCTACCATGCATCAAATAATATTCTTAGCGTTTCATTACCTTTGCTTCATTTCCCATACAACTTACAGGAATATTATACAGAGGTTTAGTAAGCTGTCTGCAGTTAAGGAATTGTTACAGTGTACATATCTAAAATCTCCCCAGGAAGTCTCATGTATTCAGAAATGTAACTTTTGGAAGGTGATTGGTTATGGGATGCTATAGTTGCCAGTGGATTAACATGCTGTTAGGAGGAGGGGTCTGGTTGGAAGAGCTGAGTCACTAGGGGTGTAGCACTGTTCCTGACCCCTCTCTCTGCTTGCTGACTGCTTGAGTTGAGAAGCTTTCCTTTGCCAGGCCTGTCCACCTCCATTTCTGCGTTGGAGGAAGCCTCCTGTGGACTGAACCCTCTGAAGCCATGAGCTAAATAAACTTTTCCCTTTCCTAGTTATTTTCTCATCACTGAGACACAATACCCAATATCCATAACTTAACAAGAAAAGGTTTATTTTGTAGATTTAGTTGTAGAAGTTGCATTCCATAGTCAGCTGGCTCCAAGGTAGGGTGGCTTGCGGAGGAGCATCGCAGAGGAGAAACAGTTCATGGTGTGGCAGCAGAAAGCAGAGCAGAGATTAAGGGAGTGTGGGGAAGATAAATCTTTCCAGACTAGAGCCCCAGTGACCCACCTCCAACCAGGCAGGCTTCACCTTCCAAATCACATTTAGCGATAGATGCGTCAATGGACTAACCTACTGGTTGGTATCGCACCCCCATAATCCAGTCACCTCCCAGAAGCCCTACCTATATGGGCTTGAAGACATACAGGGGACCCCCTTTAACATACAAGTGTCAGGTACTTGGTCTCAGTGAGCAGAGTGACTAATACAGGGATGTGCTCATTATACCTGTGTTGTCTAGAGTGAGGAAGCATGCTCAGTAGACATTTACTGATGGATGCATGAGGGATGGGATGCTTGTCAGCTTTCCCATTGCTCAGCACAGTTCCCAACAGTCAGCTTGAAGAGACTTTTAATTGGTCTCATGTCCATGGTCAGCTGGCCCTGAAGCAAGGACATGATGGCGGAGAGGGCTGGGGGAGCCAAGCTATTCAGTTCACAATGGTCAGGAAGTAGAACAGTGTCAAGACCTGCACCCCAAGGCCATCCCTCGGGTACCCACCCAGACTTCTCTGGAACTGGGCATCATCAACCCTCTGGGCAGTCCCACAACCAATGAAATAGACACAACCAAGCATCCACCACCGCAGCTGTGCTTCCAGATTTTGTTTCCACAAAATATGGACGTCTCAAAGTGAAATTAAGATGAATTCATGGAAGGTAAAACAAAAGCCACACAATGTCTATAGTGTCTGAGGGTGTTAGAAAATTTTGCTTAGAATGTTTGTTTTTGCCTTCTTGAAACAGCAGTCCAGTGTGTAGTCCAGGCTGGCCTCAGACTCCAACCTCAGCCTCCTGAGCGCTGTGATTACAGGCCTGTGCCCCACCCCCCAGAGTTACTTAATGACAAATTCATTGTAGATGAATGAAAAGAAGGGAGAGGGGAGAGGGGAGGTAGTGTACTCTTCTTTTTTAATCTTTCTTTTGCTCTGTATCTCTCCCTGTTTTTTTTTTTTTCCCAAACTCTTTCTGCAGAGCCAGTTTCTCCCTCATTCTTTTTTTTTTTTTTTTTTTTTTTGTCTTTTTCATTTTTATCGGTACCAGGGATCGAACTCATGACCGCCTGCTTGCAAGGCAGGTGCTTACGCCACTGAGCTAAATCCCCAGCCCCCTCTCCCTCATTCTTCACTTATACTTTTCAGATAAACGTCAGCATTTAAGGAAAGGGAAAAAAAAGGTGTCAAAGACATTAAAATTTACCACCTGTTGACTTGTTGTGATATGTCATTTCTAACCTTCCTCCTTTTGGATTTTATGCCAGATCTTGTGGATCTCAAAGCATATGTTGACTTTCTGTTTCCTCACTTCAGTTTTTCATATGTGAAAGTCTGGGACTTAACAACGTGGGATAAATACCCCACCATGGTACAAGCAATCGCTGGCTCTTTGTTCAAAGAAATATTTGGATATTTTCCATTATGTTTCCCTGCCTGTTTCCTTTCAAAGAGCTAAGAGTTCCAGGTAGTAGAAAAATTAACCTTTATGGAATTTTTTTTTTTTTTTTTTTTGTACTGAGGATTGGACTCACAACCTCGTGCTTGCCAGGCAGGCGCTTTTTATGCTGCTGAGCTAAATCCCCAGCTCCTTCATAGATTTTGAAATATCCAATAATTGTACCCTGAGTAATACTGAGGAGAAAGTCAGTGATCCTGCATATGAGATCTTCAGAGGATAGAAGAAGGAAAACTGTCATTAGGAAGCAGTGTATACAGGGCTTCTTGTTCCAGCATTCCTATTACTGGTTTATCAATCTAAATCCCACATTTTAAAGGAAGAGAGGCAAAATTTGGCTTAGAGTTTCAAGGCATTTGGTCCATGATTGGCTGGCTCTAAGTCAAGAATATCAAGGGAGAATGGCTCTAGTAAGAATCAGGGCATGGGAGCAGTGCAGGAGAAGGTAGGAGTAGGGACCATATGAAATAGCCAATTGCACACCTTTATGGCACACCTTACTTCTTCACTAATAACTCCCTGGGTGTTCCCTAATCCAGTAAAATTGACATTTCATGATTCATGATCACACTCCACCCATGTTAACTTGACAAACAGGCATATTTTAAAACATACTTAATCACCAAATACAGATAGTGGTAAATTCATAATTCTGGCTGACGCACTCTCCGATGCACAATCTGAACCCCACTTTTCTCTCCCCAGTTTCTGATCAGTTAACAGCATTTTCAAAAGCCCAAGTCAAAATCTTTTCTGAGAATCAAGGCAAACTTTGAACTGTGAGTTCAGATAGAAATGAAAAACAAGTTACATAATCCTAAAATATAATGGCACACAATAAATATTTTCATTCAAAACAGGATTGGGAGATGAAACAGAATCAGACCAAAACAAGAGCAAAAGTCAGCAAAGCAATATTAAATCCTGTAGTTCCATGTCCAAAATCGAGGACACATACTGGTGAGATAGGTGTTACGGAGGATATGGGTGGTACCACACTTATACCCTTTCTCTTAGTCTGGTGACACAACCTGCAGCTTCTGTTAGCAAATGTTTTGCATCTGTGGCATCTCTGATTTTCTGAAGTCTTCACTCCACCCTTGGCTTCATATTCAGAGCTTCACACACTGCCCTCTCGGGCTCCTTACCTGGCCTGCCAGGGTTTCCTTTAAAATGTGGATGGAAGCCTCTCTAATCCTGCAGTTCCTGCATTCTGCATGCTGATAAAACCAGCATTACATTGATGACATGAAAGTATGCCGCTCAGTGCAACCATCTTAAGTAGAGATCCCTTTCCTTTGCAAATGAAAGGTTGACAATTTTACATCCTTGAGCCTGAAGTGAGAGGCCGTAATGATTCCTGAGGTGCCCTCAAGGCATCTTTCTTTTTATGCCTACACAAAGTATTTGGTTTCTTTTAAATGCTGCTAATCTGTTTACCAAGCACTTTCTTTGACC